ATCAAAAAGCAGAGGAAGCTTTCCACTTGGGGGAAGCCTGTGGCTTGTTTGACCATCTGTAGATAACCTCAAACAGGAACTCCTAGCTACAGCATGACACAGCTCTCCTTCCTCTTTTTTTAATGCTGTGGCACTTCTCCCCACTCCGTTCTTTCCCAACTGGGGGTGACATTAGCAAAGAGGAAATGCTTGCAGGGGTTTCTGTGGAGCGACAGGCCCAGAATTGTAATTCAAGTGACACTGGACACACGACCGGAGAGAGGGTGGCTTTCCCCCTTGTTATTTGAGCACCTCTGGAAATGTTAATAGATTCTAAAGTTTAGAATGGTAACCAGTCCAGTACTGGTATAACCTGAAGGTCTTACCTTCTTTCAGCTCTTCAGTTTCTCCCATTTAAGCAGTGAGAGAGTTACACGATATGGTTGCAAATTCTCTCTAGTGCCAGCATCCTCAGTTTCAAAATGTGTCTGTGTTGTACATCAAAGAGGAGACTATCAATGTAGTGAAATGACAATCTATACATTGGGAGAAAATATTTGAAAATTATATATCTGAAAAGGATCTAGTATCTGTAATATATAACGAAAGCTTGCAACTCAACAACTAAAGGGCAAATAGCTCAATTTAAAAATAGGCAAATGGCTGAAATAGACATTTCTTTATAGAAGAAATGCAAATGGCAAAAAAAAACCAGATGAAAAGTTGCCCAACATCATTAGTCATAAGGGAACTGCAAATCAAAATGAAAGTGAGATGCCATTTCACACCCATTACAATGGCTATTATTAAAAAGAGAGAGAATAGCAAAAGTTGGTAAGGATGTAAAAAGTTGGAATCCTCTACATTGCTGGTTGGAATATAAAAATGATACAGCTACTATGGAAAACAGTTTGGTGATTCTTCAAAAAGCTAAACATAAAATTACCATGTGAACCAGCAATTCCGCTACTACATATTTACCCCCAAAGAATTGAAAATAGATATTCAAACATAATTTATATACATGTCATAGCACTATTCACCATATCCAAATGGTGGAAATAACCCAAATATCTATCAGCTGATGAATGGGGCAGCAAAACGTGGTCTATCCATACACTGGAATTTTATCCAGCCATAAGAAGGAGTGAAATATAATACTAATACATGCTAAATCGTAAACATGGATAAACCTTAAAAATATTAATTGAAAGAGGTTAGACACAAAGGGTCACATATTATCTGATTGCACTTATATGAAATATTCAAAATGGGTAAATACTGAGTTGGCCAAAAAGTTTGTTTGGGTTTTTCCGTAACACCTTACTGGAAAACCCAAAGGAACTTCTTGGCCAACCCAATACATGGAAACAGAAAGTAAACTGGTGGTTGCCAAGGGTGGGGGGAAGAGAGAGCAAGAGTGACCGTTTCATGGGTGCGTGGTTTCCGTTGTTTGCAGTGATGAAATTGTTCTGAAAATAACTAGAGATGGTGGTTGCACAACCCTGTGAATGTATTGAATGCTACTAAATTGTCTATTTTAAAACTGGTTTATTCTACATTATGTGAATTTTACCTCCATTTAAAAAAAATATGGGAGCCAGGGAGAAAGGAACTGAAATTCTGTGTATAGCCTGTGTGGATACCTGATCGGCAAATAGACTCATCCTTCAGTGTTTACTGCAAACAAAGCCCCTTGCCAGTGTAGGCAAGGTAGTGAAGGGGTCAAGCTCATCCCATTTATGGTCAATAGGACAGGAGTATGTCTAAAATGAGGGCTCAAGAATTGGTAGATCATGATCCAGATTAAACCCAATGTATGTATTTTCCCCCCCATATATATACATGTGTCCATTCTCCCCCCTAACCCCCCTTTTTTAAAAAAATATTTGTTCATTTATTTAATTTGGCTGTGTTGGGTCTTAGCTTCATCAGAGGGGCTTCTCTAGTTCTGGCACATGGGCTTCAGGGCACTCAGGCTCAGTAGTTCCCCCACCAGGGATCATACCCACGTCCCCTACATTGGAAGGAGGATTCTTAACCACGGGACCACCAGGGAAGTCCCCAGATATGTTATCATTTATCCCATGCCAGACCTTTATTCATTAAACCAGAAGTTAAAATTGAGCTTTCATAAAGATCCAATGTTCCAGGTTTTCTAGAGAAAAACAATCTGACCTTCCAGTGACCCTGGTCTCACATTACTACATGGTAACAATCAGCCGGGCTGGACAGAGAGTGCCACCGTTAGACTGGCCAAGGGCTGTTTCTCTCCTCCCTTCATGTTACCTGCCAGAAAGTTCACCCCTCTCTTCCCCATCCCACCGTGGCACATTTCACCTTTAATCCTCTTTTGAAAATTTTGTTTACAAAGTCTCCCATTAAGTCTCCCATTAAGACGTAAGTCTGCCTTGCGTAAGAAGAGAGCAAATGTCCAAAGGGCAACAATTTGTTCTTGAGGCCAAGAAGGGGGCACAGGTAAAAATCTCTTATTTGAGGGTGGGATGAGGGCAGAGGGCAGAAGCCCAGATCCTAAGATAACACCAGACTGGTGGCAGAATCCAGGCTGAGGCGGGGAGAGGTTGCCAGTGGGCAGAGGTGGGTGAGCACAAAGCAGGTTTCTCCTCACTGCGGCACTGCTACCTTTCTGCGCATTTTGCAACTTTCCTCGGGGCAGTCCCCCTTCTCACACTGGCTTGGGTGGCCAGCCTTTGAAGAGACAGTGTCCCGCATGGCTGACTCTTGAATGAGTTTTGCCTCCTGGACCGCCTCTTCATCATACAAGCCTGGTAAAGCCAGATTCCAAAAACCCCAGCTCTCAGGATCCTGGCCGATTGTGACAACAGCACCTGTTGTTAGGTAACCTACCACCTGTGGGATCTGGCTTTTATTTTTAAGCCTTTTTTTCTCCCCCCACCTAAACACAACGTGGAAGAAGCCAGAGTTGGGACAGCCATCTCAGGCTCTGGAAGTTCAATTTTCCTCCATACAATGGCAAGGGACTACTCCAAATTCAGGTAATAACCAATTAGAGGCAGAAAAAAATGACAAAAAGTGACTCAGGGTATCTTGTGACTGTTCCTAGTCCCACACAAAATTTCTAGGCTTTATAAAAGCCTTTGTGAGAGTTGGCTTAACTGTTTTTCTTAATGGAGAAATTTCCAGATGCCTGCCAGTGGCAGCTGCCTCAAAGCTCAAATGGTGACTGTGAGTTTGATCTGATAAAGCTCTTTGTTGGACTTTATTCACTCTCTTGATTTTCAGTAGGAACGTTTGTTCTTGTCTCTTGAGATATTGTTCTGTAGGGCATTACAGTACACTTTTGTTGTTGTTCAGTTGCTCAGTTGTGTCCAATTCTGCGACCCATGGACTGCAGCACCCCAGGCTTCCCTGTTCTTCCCTATATCCCAGAGCTTGCTCAAACTCATGTCCATCGAGCCAACGACGCCATCCAACCATCTCATCCTCTGTCATCCCCTTCTCCTCCTGCCCTCAATCTTTTCCAGCATCAGGGTCTTTTCTAGTGAGTCAGCTCATCACATCAGGTGGCCAAAGTGTTGGAGCTTCAACATCAGTCCTTCCAGTGAATATTCAGGATTGATTTCCTTTAGGATTGGTTGGTTTGATCTTGCTGTCCAAGAGGCTCTCGAGAGTCTTCTCCAGTACCACAGTTTGAGGGCATCAGTTCTTCAGTGTTCAACCTTCTTTATGGTCCAACTCTCCCATCCATCCATGACCACTGGAGAAACACATACAACATCTGAACATCCTTTGCTGTGACTCATAAGGTGCTAGATGAATTCAGCCTCCTTGAACTCAATGGCTAGATTCTGTAAGGAGGAAATGAGTTGTGATTTTGTCGATTTTAATGGGGAGGAAACAGTAGGAAATGATTAATGACCTTGGACCAGTCACTTTACTTCTGAGAGTTTCTATTTTCTTATCTGTAAAATGTGACTTTGTGATATTGGTTGAAATAAATTAGATAGTCCATGCAAACAACCCATCTTGGTGCCTGGCATATAGTTGGTGCTCATATGTTTGCTGCTGTTATTGTCCTAATCAAGTCTGAAAGTTGTGAGGCAAGACCTGGAAGAATGATGTCAGTGAGAGTAAGGTCCTAGGATCTACCCAAATGTTAATGCCTCCTTTTAGAGTAGTTTGAAGCTAAAGTTGGCTGGAAGCTACAAGTAGAGTTGAGTTGTGAAGGGAAGACTTTGTTTCTTTTGGTTCCCAGAGATCTCTTCCTGGCTTAAATCTTCAATGCCCGCCGGCTACCATGTGTCGGACCCATTCTCCAGCAACATTTCTGCAGACCTAGCTAAAGTTGTTTCTGATAAAAATGATTCCTCCAGGTTCCCTGGAGAAAGAGGACTTTGGACCCAGCAAGTTGTCATGCTTTTGATCTCTGAGACCCTCCTGATAGCTCAGAAAAGAAAGCAATGAGCAAGGCATATCTGGGCCAGCAGGAAATGTCCTTCACAGGAGAACACGTGATTTCTAAGACGGGTGGTGTCACCTCTCCAGAGGTTCCATCTTCTGTTTGGCTGATACTAGGGAGATGCAGTCCTAAGAGTCCTTCATGACTCTCCGTCTGCCTGGGTGGTAAAGCTCTCTGGAGCCCCCTCCTCTGACTACCAGCTTATGTTGGATCCAGAGGGCTTCTTCGAGGCTTTGTGAACCAAAAAATAAAACAGTAGTCATTTCTCAAAACTGTCTGGGAAATGATTAACCTCTTTCCTTTGATCCTTACCCACTTGTGGGAGGACAATCAAGTAGCCAGGGTGGAGAACATATTCTAGTATTTCCGACATTGCTAAGGTAAACAGTGGGAGGAATTCAGCTGCTAGAGTGGTTAACCATGGCTCTTTGGAGGGTTAGAAGCTGTGTGTGTGTGTGTGTAACTTCTGTAAGCATAGAGAGCTGTTGGAGCAAAAAAAAAAAAAAAAACATGGCAATTTCCTCTTTTTCTTTCCTCTCTTTTTTTTACAGGCCTGAATTTCCTGCTGCTATTCATAAAGATGCTTTTTATCTTTAACTTCTTGTTTTCCCCACTTCCAACCCCGGCACTGATCTGCATCCTGACCTTCGGAGCTGTCATCTTCCTGTGGTTGGTTAACAGACCTCAGCCCGCCTTGCCTCATGTTGATCTGAACAAGCAGTCGGTGGGAATTGAGGTAACATGCCAATTGCCTTTGCAGTTTGTCAGCCTTCATGGAACACAAACTGTAACTCAAGACCTTAGGAGAGGTGGTAAAGGAGACTTGAAGTAGTGTGGGAAAGTAAGCCTTTTTGATTAGCAAAAATAAGCAGAAAATCTACAAGTCAAAAGTTCTAGTAATGGTACATTTTTGTTTTTAATGAAATAACAGATTTTACTGATTTTATGATGCCAAAAATCTATATGTGGGATTGGCAAACTATTGCATACAAATAAAATCCACCTTTCTCTGTGTGAGCAAGCTAAGAACATTCCTTATATTTTTCAAGGGATATGTAAAAAGAATAAAAGAAAGGGCTAGATCATATGTGTTCCATAAAGCCTAAAGTATTTACTATCTAGCCCTTTGCAGGAACACGTTGCTGACCCACAATCTAGATGATAGAGTCAGTACTCTGCGGACAGAAGAATATTTTCATTGAGAAATACCATGTCTAAGAATGGTAAAAAAAAAAAGTTACTGAATTCAATTCCAGCTTTGAGTTAATAGTCTCTCTTAAAACTGACAGACATTGAACTGGGTTTCTCCCCTCAATTCTTTGACATTTTAGCAAATCTTACTACTTCCTATATCTCTGAACTAAGGGATAGTGCCATGAATTTTCTCTCATGATTTTTCATCTTCAACCCTTTTCAGAGAAGAAAGCATTAAAGCTAACCCTTTCTGATCTTGTTACAAACTCTGTACTTCTAGTTGGGAATCTGATTCCGAGTTGCCTCCATTCTCCACCACCCTCCGTTTTATTTGGAAGATTTTCATCAGCAACTTTCTGTCCCTATAATCCCGATACTTCAGGCTGCCATGTCTTTTCAATCGTCCCTTTCCCCTGAGTCTTTAAGAGTAGACTATTGGTTTCCCCTCGGGAACTTCAACCCACTGAAGTCTGACCTTTATCACTGCCATCCCCTCAGACTTCTCTGCATCACTCACAATCTAACTTCGAAATTCAGTGATTCACAACAAGGTGTGCTACTCTACAGTACAGGGAACTATATTCAATATTCTGGCATAAACCATAGTAGAAAAGAGAATTAAAAAGAATGTATATATGTGTATAACTGAGTCATTTTGCTGTGCATCAGAAATTAATACTACATTGTAAATCAAGTATACTTCAATAAAGAATAGATTAAAAAAATAAATTCAATGATTCTTCCTGTCAATTGACTTGACACCTCCTTAAAACTTCTTCCTTTGCATTTCATCATATCCTTCAGTGAGATTTCTGCCTAATTCCAAGATAGTCTTTCTTTGTTACTTAGATTCTTTCCTCTCTTTATTCTAGAGTTTCAATCTCACCATCTTTTGACTCCTCTGAAGCAAGGGTTGGCAAACTTGTTCTTGTGAAGGCCAGATAGTGAAGAGTTTAGGCTTTGCAGACCACATGAGTTGTGTTGCAATTATTCATTTCTGCTGTTACACTGTGAAAGCACCAAGAGCTATGTAAATAAGGGCAGGGCTGTGTTCCAATAAAACTTTATTTAAAAACTCGCTAGCCATGGCCCCAAATATAGTCTGCTAATCCCTGCTTTCAATCCTCACAGCTTTTGAGAAAACCCCCTCTAATATGACATGAATATGTACCTGAAAGGCTATGACACCCAAATCTGACCTCTCTTTTGAGTTCCAGTCCATCTCAGTGACACTTGAGTACCTCAGGCTCCACACATCTCTTTATTGCATGTCTTCTCCCTTCATACCGAGGTGCACACACACACACTCTTGCATACACACCTGCACCCTTTCCTGCTTCCCCTCCTGCTCCATCTCAGTTAAATGCATCTCTGCTTACCCAGTTGACCAAAAGTTGAATCATCTTTCATTCTTCCTCAATGCTGTCTATGTAAGTAGACAGCAAGACCCTATCTTTCTTTCCTAGAATAGAACTTTGCTTTTGATGTCTTGACTTAATGTGACATCTGATGGAAATCTTCCCTGATGCTCCAGATTAAGTGAGATCTTTTGTTAGAGTTTCATGGGTTATCTTGGACTTTTAGAGCTGTTATCTTGGTAATAACTTACAGTTTTGAATGCCTATTTAATTGATGGCAAGGCTTCTCTAACTTTCATGAGGGTTGAACAGTACCTCTAGCTCCTACGGTAAACACATAGTGATTTTTTTTTTTTTTGCAGATGATATTCCATTATAGGTTATTACAAGATATTGGGTGTAATACCCTGTGCTATACAGTAAATCCTTATTGCTTCCTCTGCATCTTTATTCAGGCTATTCCTTCACTCTGAACTGTTCTCCTTTCCCTGCATTCTATGAAACTACATATTTTTGGTAAATGCTTACTGTCTTCAGAGTCTCTATTGAAATATTATTTCTTCTCTGTAGGCTTTCTATTTTATTCAGTATTGGTTACTTCATTCATCTCCCAAAACGTATGTTGTTATTACAGTGTGTACATCACAGTATTTTATTTGCATGTTTTCCCCTTCTCGTCCTACCCCAGCTCCCAAAACTCTCATTTATGTGGCGCTCATGGGCAGATCCCCTAGAGAAGGGAAAGTCTATCCACTCCAGTACCCTTGGATGGAGAATTCCATTAACTGTATAGTCCATGGGGTTGCAAAGGGTCAGACAAGACTGAGCGCTTTCACTTTCACTTCACTTTCATGGGCAGTAGTTTTGTCTTAACTCACTTTGCATTTACAGTATTTGCACAGTGCCTTGAACGTGGTATGCATTTGATAGATGTTTAAACTTAATATGATTTTTTTATAAAAGGGCTTCCCTGGTGGCTCAGCTAGTAAAGAATCTGCCTGCAATTCAGGAGACCTGAGTTCAGTCCCTGGGTTGAGAACATGCCCTAGAGGAGGGGATGGGAACCCACTTCAGTGTTCTTGCCTGGAGAATTCCATGGACAGAGGAGCCTGGCGGGCTACAATCCATGGGGTCACAAAGAGTCGGACACAACTCAGCAATTAAGCCCAGCACAGCACATAACTATAATATTGTCTCATCTCTGTGTGTGTGTGTGTGTGTGTGTGTGTGTGTGTGTAAGTGCATATGCATATACCTAGGGAGGTGGAGGTAAATTACCAAAAACATAACTGTGACAATCTCTGGGTTTATCTGATATGAAGATACCACAATTTTGAGACTTAAAAAAATTGATTGATTGAATACTAAAAGGGTCATCAGTGTGACCTCAATAGTCAGCGTTTCTGTTCTTTTCAACTCAGTCCATACAGGTTTGGAAAGGGTGGGGGAAAACTCAGGCTTGACCTAAACTCGGTCTTGTGTCTTAGGGAGGAGCACGGAGAGGCATTTGCCAGAACGACAATGACCTGATACGCAGCTACTTCTCAGATGCCAAGACAGCATATGAAATCTTCCAAAGAGGACTTGCTGTGTCTGGTAAGCCTGGCTGTTTCCCCTGGCCTGTAAGACCAAGGTGGGCTCTTGTTCCCTACCTCTCCTTCCCTGTCTCACTTCTAAAACTTTGTTTAAATGTGGTGTTCCAAGAAGAATTAAAAATACAGCATGGCAGGGACATGAGCAGAGGACCTGGGTGGGTGCCGGAAGCTGTGTAGCAGGACAGACTTGGGCTTGAAACCCAATTCTTCTGTTGCCAGCCGTGTGACTGCACAAACCACTTTGCCTCTCTGAATCTGGTTCTCATTTAATACAAGGAGAACTTCCTGGCCAAGTGGTTGTTAAAGAGTTAACAGTAGGAAAATATTTTGGTTAATCCACTAGTACATTTGTTTAGGAGGATGTGTTTCATAAATGTAGTTCCCTGCGTTATAGAATCTGAGCCAGAATTAGCATCCAGGCCTCCTGACTTTTTACCTTGACCTTGCCCCTAGTATCATACTGCTGGACCTTGTTGCTGCTTTTAGTATCACAGAAGGTAATTGTTTTTTGGACTTTCCGAGAAGCATTATCCCATGACCTTTGGTAGGTTCATTTCCAATGAATGAAAGAAGTACATAAAGGTTCAGTACTTCTATCGGGCATCATAGAACACAATGCTGGGTATACTAGCTTCCTTTCAAAATCAACGGACTTATAACTCTCCCTATAATTTTTTTAATGTTTATTTAATGTATTTATTTGACTGCATCAGGTCTTAGTTATGGCATGTGGGATCTAGTTCCCTGACCAGGGATCAAACCCAGGCCCCCTGCTTTGGAAGGAAGGTATCTTAGCCACTGGACCACCAGGGAAGTCCCACTCTCCCTTTAACTTTTTTCCTTTGGAGTAATATTCTGTCCAGGCAGAGATTTACCTATGTGACTTTTTGTCCTCCATGTCCCTTCTGCCTTTTAACTATGACTACGACAATATTTAATAGCCAATTCCTGTTGGGTACTAACTATAGTAACACATGGATAGCATCTACTTATTTTCTTACACCTCAGGGATTAGTTGTCATTCACCTCCATTTAAAAGTTTTATTTATTTATGACTGTGCTCAGTCTTCACTGATGCTCACGGGCTTTCTCTAGTTGCCGTGAGAGGGAGTTACTCTGTGTTGTGGGGTGTAGGCTTCTCATTGCAGTGGCTCCCCTCATTGTGGAGCAGGGACTTTAGAGTGTGCAGCTTCGATAGTTGTGGTGCCCTGGCTTAGCTGTCACCATGCATGTGGTATCTTCCTGCACCAGGGGTCAAACCTGTGTCCCCTGCATTGACAGGTGGATTCTTAACCACTGGACCAACAGGGAAGTCAAACCTCATTTTTTAAAGTGAGGAAATAGAGACTCAGAGGTTCAGGAATATTCTGAAAGTGACCAAACTAGAAAATGTTGATGCTGATACTGAAATCTAAGTCTCTGTCTAGATTATTTTATTTTATGTCAACTCTTAAGTGTTTTGTAAAGATTGTTGTTCCTCAAGACAATGAAGGTTTATATTGTAAAGAAAGCTTCTATCTGAAGGTTCCAGAGTGGACTGTACTTGGTGTTTCTGGCTCCACATCAGTACTGATTTAGATATCCATCCACATAACAAACAAAAACAAACCAACTGCTAGTTTCTTTACTTATTTGACAACTTAAGATAGTATATAGCTAATATGATGGACTTTCCTTTGAGATTTTCCACTTTTTGAAGTTTTCTTCACTGTGCATGATTGTTATTGGAACTAGATACAAGTCATTCAGCACACAACATGTGGTGCATAGGACACACCTTCCTTTAGAAACTTTTTTCAATGTTAAATTAAAACTAAACAGATAAATTGGCTTCTCGTGTAAGTAAGCATGAAAAATCCAGCCTGTTTCCATAGAAAAATGACACAACTGCTTACAACTGGGATGGAATACATCAGCCCCAGCCTCTGTCTTTATAGGGTTCCCAGGTGGCTCTCGTGGTCAAGAAGACACCTGTCAACGCAAGAGACTTCAGAGGCATGGCTTTGATCCGTGGGTTAGGAAGATCCCCTGGAGGAGGGCATGGCAACCCACTCCAATATTCTTGCCTGGGAAATTCCCATGGACAGAGCAGCCTGGCAAGGCTATGATCCACAGGGTTTTAAAGAATTGGAAACAACTGAAGCGACTTAACACAAACACACACAACCTCTATCTTTAATCCCTAGCCAGTAGATGGTCCATGTTGAGAATCACCTGCATGCATGTGTGCTAAGTTCCTTCAGGTGTATCTGATTCTGTGTGACCCTAGGGACTGTAGCCTGCCAGGCTCCTCTCTCAGATAATCCAGGCAAGAATACTGGAGTGGGTTGCCATGCCCTTCCTCTGGGGAGAGTTACCTGCAGATAGTGTTTAAAATATAGATCCTCTAGCTCCACTGTGTTTTACTGAATTGGAATTCCAGATAGTTGCTGTTTAGTCACTAAGTTCCGTTCAACTTTTTGCAGTCCCATGGACTGCAGTACATCAGGCTTCTCTGTCCTTCACTATCTCCCAGAGTTGGCTCAAATTCATGTACATTGAGTCGGTGATGCCATCCAATCATCTCATCCTCTGTCGCCCCCTTCTCCTCCAAATATGAATTTTAAACATAGCTTTACAAGGGCTTTGTGTGCCAAAGTTTCAACTCTACCTAGCTTACGGCCCCAATTTTGCTGAGAAGTTGTTAATGGGTGGATTCTTTATAGATGGCCATGTCTTAGAACAGAAGATCTAAGTTGATTAAATTAATCAAAGGCTAGGCTATTGCCTAGTCAGGACTTTGGCTAATCAAACTGAAGCTGATTAGGGCACAGAGTTTAATGAAACCCCAGTTGGTGCCCCCTTGGGCCAATTATTTGACTTATTCCTTGACCATGGGCCTCTGCTAGTATTTTTATCAATAGGGAAGTGATAAGGAGATGAAATAGAGTTTTTCTCACCCTTATCAGCTCTGCCACTTAATGAGTGAGCATGAAGTTGTTCAAGTTCATGATTCTTGGTTCCATAGGGATAATGATAGTTATTGGGAAGACCCAATGAGTTAATGTGACAGTGCAGAGTAAGCTAGGGACCCTAACAGGTACGTATCGCTGGGGGTTAATGTTTGTAAAAACCAGTCCATCAGTAGAGCACCAGTGGCATACACTGTATGCTGGAGCAGGGGCTGTGAACCCCTAAAGCAGGACTTGCCTGGCTTCAAGTAACATCTCAGTCTGAGACTTGACTTCTTGAGCATTCATGCAGCTGTTTCAGCAGAAAGAAAAAGCACTAATGTTTCCTGTGAATAGTCTCCATGTTCATTAAAAAAAAAATCTCTTTAGTCAATGTGGCTATCTCTTTCCTGCTTTCTTTCCTCTCTCCTCTGTTGCTTAGTCGGGAAGTTCACTTATTTGCCTCTGAATTCCTAATAACCTTCTCTTTGAATGCTTCCTTTTGGCTAGAACTGAAATCCCCTCAGCAATTTGGCTAGATCCTCTATGTAAAACTTCCTTCCCTTCTGCACTCCTATTTATAACTCAGTTTCATTCTGGCTTAGATATGGGGGTTTCTCAGCCAGTTAGGGGTTTTACTTAGCCTCATAAGTACCATAACTTCTGTGACTTCTGTGGCTGAAATGACTCTTTACTCTAGTAAATGGATGTTCCCAAACTTACTTTAATTTTAAATAAGGCAGAATAGCTTTGATGTTCAGAAGTTTAATTCTTCTATTGTCAAACGTGAGACACAGTTGTAAAAATATCCAAGGCTAAGGTACATGTGTGTGTACACGAGTGCTCCTGTGTATACTTATGTGTGTTCTCGTAGTTCTTAATGAGTCTCAGGGTCTCAGAAGACACTCTCATATAAAGTACATTACCAACTGATTCATGAGAGTAAATGAAGAGCTTAATAGATAAGGGAAAGGGTCCCATTTTAATAGCTGTGAAAGAAGCTTAGACTAAAGTAATAAATTTTAAAATCTGTTAAACCAGAAGACATATTAAAAAGTGACTATTTAGTGTCTATGACTTGATATTTGCTGGTGGGAGAAAAGCAAATTGTCCCAACTGATTCACCAAGTAATGTGGCACTAGGTATCAAAAATCTGAGCTGTATACCATGGAACTGGCAGCTTGGATGAGAGGCGAGTTTGGCGGAGGATGGATACGTGTATATATGTATGGCTGAGTCCCTTCGCTGTTCACCTTAAGCATCACAACATTGTTAATTGGCTGTACCCCACTACAAAATAAAAAGTTAAAAAAAAAAAAACCCTGAGCTTTCTAACCAACTGTCCTCACCCCCAGCTCCTGCCACCCTTCCCAACCCGGTTATTTCATTTAAAATACTCTTTTCTAAGAAAATGTTCTGACTTTGAAATGATCAATTTGAAAGTATGTATTGTAGCATTATTTGAGGTGTCAATTTTGGAAACAATCTCCATGCCCAAAATGAGATCAATTCAGCTATACACTAGAATCCTTCACTACTTGGCCATAATAAGGCCATTAAAATCTCTATAGAGAAGAAATAATAACGGAAATATTTGTATAAAATGGGGGAAGAAAGCAGGATACCAAAATATATATGTGGAATGAACATAACCTGGAGACTATCAAAGGAAGTATCAAAGAAAATACTTAATATCAGTCTGGATAATGGTGTTTATGTGATAAGATTATTGATGACTTGTATTTTGATTTTTTGTCTGTTTTTATGAGCATATTTTTTTACTGGGCATGTATGTTAAGTCGCTTCAATCATGTCTGACTCTTGGTGACCCTGTGGACTGTAGCCCACCAGTCTTCTCTATCCAAGGAATTCTCCAGGCAAGAATACTGGAGTGGGTTGCCAAGCCCCTTTTTTATTGTAGGGAAACTCAGTCCAAGATTACCCAATACAGGTTATTTGTGTTCACTTGTAGGTTTTTGTTTGTTCACGTCATGTGGGCTAGTCCATATTCATGGCTTTCCCCAAATGCCTGTTACCATGGAGGTCACATATTCCAACATGGAACCACCCCTGTTTTTCAGCATTTCCTAAATGTTGCAGATGCAGTTTTCAAGGCTCTCTCTGTCTTTGAGAACTGAGTACTTATCACTTTTGCATTTCCTTGGCACATAAGAGAAAATTGCGTCCTTACTGGATTTGTCCTTTGTGTCTTGTCTCTTCCTAACCTCCTTTTACTTTCTCTGGTCCAAAGAATTTGCAACTGGAGCTGATTTTCTCTTAATTTTATGTTTTTAGACAATGGGCCTTGCTTGGGATATAGAAAACCAAACCAGCCCTACAGATGGCTGTCCTACAAACAGGTAAGTCAAGCTCATGATTTTGGATAAGTTCTTTTGTTATGTGGTATCCTGAGCTAATTTGTTCTCTCTGGAGTCTTGATTGCTTTTTTTTTTCTCTCTCTCTCTCTCTCTACCTCTCTCTTTTGTAGGTGTCTGATCGAGCAGAGTACCTGGGCTCCTGTCTCTTGCATAAAGGATATAAACCATCACAAGACAGCTTTGTTGGCATCTTTTCTCAGAATAGGCCAGAGGTAACTGTGTTGAAATTAACTGAAAGAGATGAGTCAGGGCCAAGTCTAAAGACTTTAAACCCTACCCCAAATCCAGCACTCTGATGCTTGATAAAGACTTACGAAAGCTGTTTAAAGACCTCAGACTCTTTAAACATTGTTCCAGTTGAAAGAGTTGTAGTGCATGGCCTCTTTAATTTGCTAGGTGACTGGGCTTCTCTCATGTGTTTCCAGTTATGTGTCATTTTAAGCCAGTCTGTCATATGAGGAAAATAAGGAAACTGTGAGGGGCCTGGCACATAAGAGCTTGCGGATGACGTGGAAAGGGGTGAATTGGTTTTAGAAGTGGAACTTGCACATTGTTCCTCAACTAGTAACCAAGGCATCGACTTCTCCTGAGACCAGCTGTAGCCATCTTTCCACAGTGAGTTGAAAGCAGATTTTAGAATTGCAATGATTGGAATTAAGCTTATCTCCAAGTTCAGGTGAAGTCATTAGGCCCAATATCCTCAGAGGAAAAGCTTTGTGTGTTTTGGAATATTTGCATGACATACACTTACCCAAGCCAGTTGTTTAACTGAAAATCCAAGGCGGGGGCAGGCCTGGCTGCATTTCAGGGTGCATCTATATACTTCATCTTCCCTTAACCCAGCCTCGGAGATATCCTTGACTCTAGTTCAGGAACTTAATACCAAACCTGGTATCTATTAAGGCTGCCATAAAAAAAATACCACAGACTGGTGGCTTAAACAACAGAAATTAATTTTCTCACACTCCTAGAGTCTGTTCAAGATCTCCAGTTCGAAGTCAAGGTGTCAGCAGGTGTGGTTTCTCCTGAGCCCTCTCTTCTTGGCTTGCAGACAGCTGCCTTCTTGCTGTGTCCTCACTTGACATTTTCCTCTGCCATCCCCAGGTGTCTTCCTCTTCTTATAAGGACAGCAGTTATGTTGGATCAGGGTCCCTTATGAGCTCTGTGCTATAATGTGCTTAGTCTCAATCATGTCTGACTCTTTGTGACCCCAGGGACTGTAGCCCACCAGGCTCCTCTGTCCATGTAATTCTCCAGGCAAGAATATTGGAGTGGGTTGCCATGTCTTCCTCCAGGGGATCTTCCCAACCCAGGGATCAAACCCAGGTCTCCCACACTGCAGGCGGATTCTTCACCATCTGAGCCACCAGGGAATCCTAAGGATACTGGAGTGGGTAGCCTATCCCTTCTCCAGGGGATCTTAACCAACCCAGGAATGGAACCAGGGTCTCCTGTGTTGCAGGCAGATTCTTTACCAGCTGAGCTTTATGATCTCATTTCACCTTAATTCTTTTTAAAAGGCGCTATCACCAAAAACAATTTCCTTGGTGTTAGGGCTCCGACATGAATTTAAGGGGGAACATAATTCAGTTCATAATGACATTTAAGACCCATGATCATCAGGTTCTGACCTATCAGCCCAATTCCTGTCACTCTTTATGCTTTCTGATGTATATGTAGTGATGTCATGCAATCCTGCTTTGTTCATTCACTTCCTTCGTCCTTCTCTGCCTCCATCTCCATAACCAAATCCTACCTGCTGCTGCTGCTACTAAGTCACTTCAGTCATGTCCAACCCTGTGCGACCCCATAGACAGCAGCCCACCAGGCTCCTCTGTCCATGAGAGTTTCCAGGCAAGAGTACTGGAGTGGGTTGCCATTGCTTCTCTCTGTCCATCCGAGCCCAGCCCAACCCTGTGCGACCCCATAGACAGCAGCCCACCAGGCTCCTCTGTCCATGGGAGTTTCCAGGCAAGAGTACTGGAGTGGGTTGCCATTGCTTCTCTCTGTCCTTCCGAGCCCTGCCCAATTTCCATCACTTTTCCCAAAGTAGTTCCAGATAGCCTTACCCCACCCCTGAGAGTGGCTGTTTCCTTAAGACTCCCTAATGCTTTCTGTAACTCTTATGGATAGAACTTATTACCCTCTACCTTTGTTTTATAGTTGTCTCTGCACCCACCTTATCTCCTTTATTTAATTATATTTTATAGCATCAGCAATGGCAGTCCCTAAAGCATCACAAAAAAGAAGAGATTTGAGGGGACTTCCCTGATGGTCCTGTGGTTAAAACTCTGTGCTTCAAATGCTGGGAGTCTGGGTTCCATCCCTGGTCAGGCAACTAGATTTCACAAGCCCCAACTAAAGATTCTTTCTTTTAACACAGAGCTGCCAAATAAGCATTTGTTGACTAAATGACTGAATTAACATACTTCCTCGTCAAAGCATATGCTAGTCCTTATTTGAACATCTCTCCATACAGTGGGTCATCTCTGAGTTCGCTTGTTACACGTACTCCATGGTAGCTGTGCCTCTCTATGATACCTTGGGAGCGGAAGCTGTCATATACATCGTCAACAAGGGTAAAACTTCGCTATTACATTTTAACTTGATTCTTTCTTGATGCTGAGTAGTTCCTCAGTATTGGATTTTGTTAACAGAATGCTGTGATCAGAAAAATGCTCAAGTCTCTCTTGTCCTGTAGCACCTAGGATATAATTTAGAGGGAAGTTACAAAAAGCCCATGAATCAGGGATATACTCAGAAGTTTCAATAAAATGCTTCAAGGTGGCATAATATGACAATATAGTCACTGGCCACCCTGGACGAAAGGCCATAGAGTGAGTGAATAAATCACTTACTTGACAGTATCACTATGAAACTACTGGTTTAATTTCCTGCTCTTGTAAATCGAAGTGAGTATAGTTCACCAGCATGTACCAGTGTCCATGGTGAGCCTGTAGACAAAATGACTATTGCTAGAGAAACAAGTTCAAGTTCAATGGGCAAGTAAGAGATATACTAGATGTTACCTTCCATCACAGAACTGGTATATTAAGTGAGTAGATCCATTGGAACTATAGACTTAATCAGAAAGTTTCTATTTGTGTAAACAAGTATCAAAGCAACTGCTACCATTAAAAATCATAAATGCTTGTCTGCTAAAATCCTACTTGCCCCCTCCTTCCCCTTTTAATCCCTCCTCCCCATGCCCCCAAACAAAACAAATGGACAGGACCACATATGTGACCAAGCATGTTGTCTGTATTCTTAACCTGAAGGAATTTTGTGGCTCCTCTGGAAACTAAAAACGGTTGGCAGTATGCAGGGAAACTAAGTGCTTCTGTTTCAATTAAGTTTATTTTATTATCAATGGAATGTTTCAGATTTTATACATTATAAATCTGATTTACAAACATAATCTCCTTTCGGGATCCAGTAGTTTTGACATTTTCAAAAATCTTTTCCTCTTTGCAAGAAAATCGGGTGCACGGCAACACAAGAGGCTGACCTCTGGCTCTCTTTCTGCTTTCAGCTGATATCTTCACGGTAATCTGTGATACACCCCAAAAGGCATTAGTCCTGATCAGTAATGTGGAAAAGGGCCTCACCCCAGGCCTGAAATTGGTCATCCTCATGGATCCCTTTGAAGATGACCTGAAGAAGAGAGGGGAGAAATGTGGAGTTGAAATCTTATCCCTGATTGATGCTGAGGTAGGGACCTGAAGCTCAACTGCCAAGCAGAAGGCTGGTCTCACACCATGGGCAGCTTCCAGGACTTCCATACAAGAAAGCAAGTTGATGTCCTCCACAGGTGGCAGGGGAGCAGTCAATTACATTTATACTATTAAGCTATGGGAATCATTTCCCCAAGACAACTCAGAAAGCCTGCCAGTCGGGGAGGAAGGCCTGTGGCCAGCAGACAGACTTCCAAGTAGAGAATTTATAAATACAGAAGTAGTTAGGGAGGTTATCCTGGAACCAGGCTTCCTAGGTTCACCTTCTAACTCCATATCTATTAGTTACGTGACCTGGGGCCAGTTGCACCACATCTTCCTTTCCCCCTTTGTAATATGAAGATGAAACTATCCCTACTTCACAGAGGAGATTTAAAGAGTTAAATGAGAGAACATAAAGTGCTCAGGACAGTAATATAATGTGCAGTAAGCCTTGAAATGTAAATTATTCATTTTATTTAAAATTATTTAGCAATGGTCCTGGAAGACTGAACCTTGAGAGTCTGATGGGAAGTTTGGACCTTTGGGATCTGCCCTCATGAGCTGGTATTCTAGAGAGAACTTATACTCTACCCTGAGACTTCCATTGTGCCTGAATGTTGGCTTCTGGGCCTGATCTGGGGTGGAATTTTGGTTGTATTCCCACAGAGGTGTTCACATGCAAAAGGAAAAGAGGACTGTATTTGTCCTAAGACTGTCCATCTCGACTAATGTCTTTCTTTCTTGCTTTTCTGTTCATGCAGAATTTAGGCAAAGAGAACTTCAGAAAACCCGTGGTAAGTTTTCTTCTGCCTGATCTTGAGTCTTGCCATCTTCAACTCTCAAAGCTCACAGTAGACTAAGCCCTTATGCTTCCCCCTCCAGCCTCCTGCACCAGAAGATCTGAGCATCATTTGCTTTACCAGTGGGACCACAGGTCAGTGCCCAGAAGTTGCCCCAGATGCCCCTAGTTAACCAAAAACATGGCTTGAGTCACTGACCACTGGTGGGCTGGTAAATATACTTTACAAGCAGCCCTATCCTGAGGGACTTATAAACTAAGACTTCTGAATATGGTTGCTCACTTAGAAAAACCCACGCATAAGCAAACATTTCAATGAACAACCAGGAGCAGTTTACATGCTATGGAATGGAAGGGCCTTAAAGATGGCTTCATAAAGTCAACTTTCTCGCCCAGCCTACCACTCTCTCAATTTAACATCACTGGAATGGCTTCACTCAATCAAGATAGCCCAGTGGTAGATCTAAACAGATCATTCTGTGTCCTCTTTCTCCCCCTCTATGTAGCCACCTAGTTACTAGAACTCTTAATAAATTTTAATTTGAACCATAATAATCTAGAAGTTATAGCCATTTCACTGTGCCCCATTTATAAAGTGATGGCCAGGTAATACTGTTAGATCTGAAGTCTTCAATATGAAAACAGCACGAGGCAGAGTGGGGGTCAATTGGATTCTTCTTTTTGTTGCTATCTGAGACTGTGGCTGTGCCCTGTGTGGTAGCACAAGGCTAATAATGCAGTCAGAGTAGAGTTTCTGGGGGTATCAGTTATTCATAAGCAGAGTCATACACCATTCATAAAAAAACCCAGGGACAGAAGAAGTTCTCGGCTCCGTGGAACAGAACCAAATGAATGTAGCTTCTTATTTCAATGCCAGAGACAACCTATTAGTCACTTACTGGATCTTTCCACCTCTTGTTTCCTACAGGTGATCCCAAAGGAGCCATCTTAACCCATGAAAATATTGTTTCCAATGCTTCTGCTTTTCTCAAATCTATAGAGGTCAGTGGTCAATTGAAAATGAGGCCGTCATTAAAATGTCAATCTGTCGTAAGATTTTAATCTTAAAGTGAGAGGAGGCAGAGAAGGAAAAAACAGATTGAAGGCCTGAGTGTGGATGAATACTAGTACATCTTTGTCTGAGTTTTGCCCTTTTATTTATTTGTTAAGATATATATTTTAAAAAATCTGGACCATTTTTAAAGTTTTTATCGAATGTGTTATAGTATTGGTTCTGTTTTATTTGTGATTTTTTGGGGCTACAAGGTATGTGGGATCTCAGCTCCCTGACCAGGAATAGTACTCACACCCCCTGCATTGGAAGGTGAAGTCTTAACCACTGGACCTCTGGGGAAGTCCCATAGAGTTTTATTCTATTAGGGTCACTGCAGATCTCTACATTCAGTGCAGTTAGAGCAGCCCTGAGAGTTACACAGGGCACATCTGCACAACTGTAGGCAGCAGTCCTAGAAAGAAGAAGTGTTTAAATCCTCTTTGGAAGAGGAAATTAACATTAACCCATTGTTGTCTCCTTTCCATTTCCTGATCTCTAGGGTGTTTTTGAGCCTAATCCCGAGGACGTGACTATATCCTACCTCCCCTTGGCTCATATGTTTGAGAGGGTTGTACAGGTAAGATCTTATATTCCTAGCAGGTGTGTGAAAAGAAGGTCCTGACTTGCTAGTCCCACATTTATTCCAAGGGCAGCTCTGCAACATTTGCAGTCCACTATCTAATGTGAGAGCACGGGCAGAGGGGAATTGTCGTGGCTGAGTCCTAATCTTGGCATCATCCCATACCTGCTGCAGAGTCTTCCTGTATTGAATCTGTCTGTATCCCACGGGGTGAATGCTTGCTCCTGCCTTCACACAGGGTGCCTGCAAGTCCTTGGAGCTCACAGCCTGGAGCTTACTATCTATCCTGCACAGGGAGATGAGGCATTGTTTTTTCTTTTCTTTGGGCTAGAAGTTTTGAAAAGATCTAGGCTTAAAGAAAAGGAAGTTCCCCACAGAGGGGCGAAGAAGGAATCTTTGATCCAGATAAGGTGTCCAGAGTGTGTCAGGGGCAGCTGCTGATGATGGTACATGGGCTAGGGAAGAGCTGGCCTTCTGTGAGTGGTCACCAAGCTTTTCAGGCTATTTTGAGGCTGGTTTGAGAAACCAAAAGCAAAAACACAGGGGTCATTAGGGATGGAAAATCCCCTCTCTGACCCCTGCTTAAATATCTCTTCAAACAGCTTATCTGTTGGTACATGAAATGCTAAAATGGAAGATTCAGTTCCTTGGGTTAAAGTGCTGATATCTGATTAATATAATATTAATTCTAATAAGCGTGTTTTTCACATTTTCAGTCAGCTCAGTTGTGTCCTACTCTGCGACCCCATGGACTGCAGCATGCCAGGCTTCCCTGTCCATCACTAACTCCTGGAGCTTGCTCAAACTCATGTCCATTGAGTCGGTGATACCATCCAACCATCTCATCCTCTGTCGTCCCCTTCTCCTCCTGTCTTCAATCTTTCCCAGCATCAGGGTCTTTTCCAATGAGTCAGTTCTTCATATCAGGTGGCCAAAGTATTGGAGCTTCAGTTTCAGCATCAGTCCTTCCAATGAATATTCAGGACTGATTTCCCTTAGGATTGACTGGTTTGATCTCCTTGCAGTCCAAGGGACTCTCAAGAGTCTTCTCCAACACCACAGTTCAAAAGCATCAGTTTGTCGGCACTGAGCTTTCTTTATAGTTCAACTCTCACATCCATACCTGACTACTGGAAAACCATAGCTTTGACTAGACAGACCTTTGCTGACAAAGTAATGACTCTGCTTTTAAATGTGCTCTTTAGGTTGGTCATAGCTTTTCTTCCAAGGAGCAAGCGTCTTTTAATTTCATGGCTGCAGTCACCAACTGCAGTGATTTAGAGCCCCCCAAAATAAAGTCTCTCGCTGTTTCCATTGTTTCCTCATCTATTTGTCATGAAGTGATAGGACCGGATGCCATGATCTTAGTATTCTGAATGTTGAGTTTAAAGCCAATTTTTTCACTCTCCTCTTTCGCTTTCATCAAGAGGCTCTTTAGTTCTTCTTTGCTTTCTGCTATAAGGGTGGCATCATCTTTGAGGTTATTGATATTTCTCCCGGCAATCTTGATTCTAGCTTGTGCTCCATCCAGCTGGCATTTCTCATGATGTACTCTGCACATAAGTTAAATAAGCAGGGTGACAATATACAGCCTTGACGTATATTCTGTGAATATACATGAAAACTTCGGGAGTTTTCACATTTTATCACTCCTGAAATTGAGATGGTCCGACCACTGTAGGCGTGTTCTAGTTTGAGTGGCAGTGCTTTTTTCTTAGTGCTATGTAATGAATGGGCTCTTAGAAACGATGCCTTAGACACTCATCCAGAGCTGTGGGTGGAGTAGGGGTGGGCCTGCAGCCTCACAATCTGACTTACCTGTCTTGCCACCTCAGCAGAGGCGAGTGTCATCCTGTCTAGGGAGTAGGGTCTCAGAGTTCTGGGTACATGAAGTGTCAGGGGTGAGGGGGTTCAGAGAAAAGTGCCCATTTTTGTTGTTGTTCAGTCACTAAATTGTGTCTGACTCTTTGAGACCCCATGGACTGCAGCGCACCAGGCTTCCCTGTCCTTCACTGTCTCCCAGAGTTTTCTCAAAATCATGTCCATTGAGTCAGTGATGCTATCTAGCCATCTCATCCTCTGCCACCCCATTCTCCTTTTGCCTTCAGTCTTTCCAGCACCGGTGTGTTTTCCAATGTGTCAACTCTTCACATCAAGGTGCCCATTGGATGTCCTTAATTCTGTCCCAACAGACCCAACTCAAAGAGGTTCTTTGGCTCTGAGCCCCGCCCTCTGGTTTTGCTTTTAGGCTGTTGTGTACTCTTGTGGAGCCAAAGTCGGATTCTTCCAAGGAGACATTCGGCTGCTACCTGACGACATGAAGACCTTGAAGCCCACATTGTTCCCTGCGGTGCCTCGACTCCTTAACAAGGTCTATGATAAGGTACTTACCTTTCTTCTCCTGGGCTGGCCCTGAGCTGTGTGGGGCTTAGGCCTGACTACAGCTCCTAGAGACTCTGTGTTGCTAAGAACTGTGCTGCATTTCCAGCCTTAACCCCACTCCCACCAGCATCCACTTACAGCCACACTTACAAATGCAGCCATGAAAAATTGTACAAATGAAACCTCCTTTCCTCTGGATGAGATTACTTGGATGTGATATGGAGAAACAGATTAATTCAGAGACTTGAAGAACCTCTCAAAATTCAGCTGAATAGGAAATTGTTACTCTGATTTCATAACACCTGCTGGTTAGGGTGCTTCTTGCTGAGGTGCTAAGCCCATGGTAAATATTTCATATACATTCCATCATTTCATTCCTACAAAATCCCAGGAAATCACACCAACGTTTATTGTCCCTAATTTACAGATGACGAGACTGAAACTTGGAGGTTAAATAACTTGTCCAGAGTCAGGTCTAATAAGGAGATGAACCAAAATTTCATGGCCTCATGACAGATTTAGGTGTTATTGATCTCTGCTCTGTTTTTCACTAAGGTTAGGAAAATGGTGCTCTTTCTAATCCAAGCATTTCTCTTGCCTTCATTGGCTGAGAGTCTTCCAGGAAGGCACAAATATTTTAGTTTTTCCCTTTTATTTATCAGTCTTGAAAATAATGAACTGGTACCCCAGTGACCTTCAAAACTGGTCAGTGAGAAGTTTTCTTTGTAATATTATGATACTCTATAATCTATATGATCCTAAATCAAAAGCCCTAACAGTGGTACACAATCAGCTGTTTCATCAGTACTCTCAGGTAACTTTGTAGATAGATGCTACCTTTTGGGGACATGCTGTATCAATTGTCAAGGTTGTTTGCTAAGGACCAGGAATTTGGAGGAGCTGGAGCTTTGTCTGTGTGTACGAAGTTCACTTCTTTGTTAGCATGGACTTTCATCATTATTCAGCATACCAGTGCATGAATAAGAGCCACTTTCTTTTGATGCTAGGAGGCACTATCTCTTGCTTGTTGATGAATGGCTTTGGTGAGTATACTATAAGTTTCCAACTAAGAGGAGCTGTCACTCTCCAGGTACAAAATGAAGCCAAGACACCCTTGAAGAAGTTCTTGTTGAACTTGGCTGTTGCCAGTAAATTCAGTGAAGTGAAAAAGGGTATCATCAGACGTGACAGTCTGTGGGACAAGCTCATCTTTAGAAAGATCCAGGTATGTTGGGTAGGTCCTGATGGTGCCAGGTACGTGTCTGGGTTGCCCTCTGCCTCAGCATACTTTGCTTTTCCTTTGATGGTCAAGCGTCTGTTTAACTGGAGACCCTTTGGCACTTTCTGTGTTCACTCAACCTTTCGAGAACTCTCTCAGACAACTTTGCCACTAAAGGGATTTGGCCAAAATGCAGAAAGTGGATTTTTCTTAGGTTCTAGCGCTTTCATTCTCTTAGGTGGTCTGTTGAGAGTCCTAAGTAACTTGAAAGGTCCAACAATACAAATTACCTGAGGAAATGTCAAAAAAAAAAAAAAATTGCAGGTCTGGTTCCCGCTGTGGATGGTGGTGACCATAAGGGCCAACATTTTAAGTTCTTTTCTACAATGATGGACCCTTCCTAAGTGCTTTGTGAATTAATGAGTTTAATCCTTATGACAACACTGGATAAGTGGGCTGTTCTGCCCATTTTGCAGTGCAGGAGACTAAAGCTGCAGGAATAGTTTTCAGCAGGTCTTTTGTTTCTATTAAACAGGAAAGCCTGGGTGGGAAGGTTCGGCTCATGGTCACCGGAGCTGCCCCCATCTCACCTCCCATCTTGACGTTCCTTCGGGCAGCAATGGGATGCCTGGTAAGCCAAGCACCTTTTTTTTTTTTAATTTTTTATTGGGGTGTAGTTGCTTTACGGTGTTGTGTTAGTTTCTGCTGTAAAGCAAAGTGCATTAGTTATATACATCCACGTATCACCTCTTCTTTCCTTCCCGTTCAGGTAACAGGTCCCCTTTTGGGGATGATAGCTGATTTCACTTTTGTACAAGTAAAACTCACTACTTAAATAAAATTGAAAACACAAATGAAAAGTGCCAAGGCGAAAGTCAGCCAGAAGCTCAAAGTCAAGAGAAAATATCCTTCCAGTCACCGCTTAATGCATCTGTGTAAAGAAACCTTGACACAAATAGCATCAGTGTTAGCGAAAATTTGCCATTTGCAGCAGTGTGAATGGACTTGAAGAGCATTATGCCAAGTGACATAAATCAAAGACAAATTCTATGTGACATCACTTATATGTGGAATCTAAAAAATACAACAGACTAATGAATATAATAAAAATGAAGCAAGCTCACAGATACCGAGAACAAACTACTAGTGGTGGGTAGAGGGCAATTTAGGGGTAGGAGGGTAAGAGGTACAAACGGTTAGGTATAAAATGAGTTACAAGGATATTATTATATGGGAAATATGTCTGATGTTTTATAATAACTATAAATGGAGTATAATCTTTAAAAAATGGCATCAGTGTTCTAACACACTTGTTAAGCAGTGCTCGCCCCATCCATATTGATTCTAGTCAGATAAACATCATTTTAATAGTTTTGTAATAGTTTATTGAATGTACCCAAATAACTAGTCTCCTGTTGATGCATGTTAAGTCACTTCGGTCGTGTCCAACTCTTGACTCTTAGAGACCTATGAACTGTAGCCAACCAGTCTACTCTGTCCATGGGATTCTTCAGGCAAGAATACTGGAGTGGGTTGTCATGCCTTCCTCCAGGGGGTCTTCCTGACCCAGGGACTGAACCTACGCTTCTTACCTTTCCTGCATTGGCAGGTGGATTCTTTACACTTGTGCTATGTAGGAAACCCAGTCTCCTATTTGAGAGACGTCATTTTTTTTTTTTTTTGCTGTTATAATCAATGAGGTGATAAGGATATTAGTGAATATTTATGCAACTATCAATTTAGGATAAATCTTTGCCAGTGGGAATTATTGGGCCAAAGTATATGAGTTTTTTTATGTGTTAATGTTGATGTTCACACTCCCTCAGAAGGGTCTTGTCTTTCTTATACATTCCTACAAATAATGCACAAGTCCTGTTAGCCCCACCTTGTTGCTAGTGATAGATATTTTCAGTCATTTAAATCTTAGCCAAATAGATACTTGAGAAATCTTATTACAACTTTGTTTTTTTTTATTAACACCAAACATCTTTTGGGGGGGGTCTTTTTTTCCCTTGCCCTCATCGCACTGAACATTCACAGATTTATTTAATAGTATTTGTGAGGCTTTGTTTGTTTGGCTGCACTATGAGGCATGCAGGATCTTAGTTCCCCAACCAGGGACTGAACCCAAGACCCCTACATTGGAAGTGCAGAGTCTTAACCACTGGACCCCAGGGAAGTCTCTAAACATCCTTTCTATTGTTTACTGGCACTTGTGTTGCTTTCATGAATTACTACATTACTTCCTTATAGAAAAAAGAACACAGGAGAGTTTGGTTCTCTTTCACCTTGCTTTCTAAAAATTCATATAGTAATAAAATCAATCTTTGTTGTGTTAGAAGTGTATTTCCTAGTCTCATCTTTTGTACTGTGTACTGCTGGATAAAAGTCTTAAATGTTTATGCAGCAAGTCACCTTTCTTATGTGGCTTAATAAGGGCTTAGACCTTAGGCTTCCTGACCCAACCCTCAATATTGCATAAAACTGTTTTCATACAGATTTTCTGGTAACCTTGTGGTTTTACCTTTTTTCAATTAAGTCTCTCCTCCATCAGGAATTTAGTAAAAGGGCTTGAGTACAGATAGTCTCATATTTTACTCCCAGATGGCTATCTAGTTCATTCTTTTGTCCAACGTGCACAGCATGAATGAAACAAACAGCCTTGTCCTCATCAAGTACCACCTATGTGTGTACCTGCCTTCACAATAGATTCTGAATTGATGCCAAGGCCAGAGTTCCTCTGGCCTTTCAAACTAGCATCCTCATGGCCATGCTTAACACCTTCCCTTCCCTCAGATCCTAAAACGCATAGATCAGAAGGCCCTAGGTCATATCCCTCCCAGAAATGCCTTCCTCTCTTCTGCCAGCTCTGCCTGGGACAGACCCCATCCCCACTTCAGACTCCGCATGTGTTTCCCCCACAGCCCCTCTCCAGTCAAGGTTAGCCTTCATCCCAGCAGTTGGTCTGTGCTACAGACCAAATCTGGCCTGTTTTCTCTATTTATAAATAAAGTCTTGGTGGAACACAGCCACACTCATTTATTTATGTATTGTCTGCTGCTGCTTTGGTGCTATATTGGCAGAGTTAAGTCACTGACATAGAAACCAAGTGGCTCATATGGTCAAAAATATTCACTCTCCAGTTCTATATACAGAAGTGTGCCAACCCCTGTTCTATACATACCTATTTCCCTTAAAATATACTTCTCATTTTTTTTAGCTCCTTCAGTAGCATGTCCTTGCCTAGGTTCAAGTCCAGTTGCCATTGGGTTGCATGTCACTTAATGAATAACTCTCTTTTCCCCATTAGCTTGAAATGTCACATTTCCCAAAGTATAGTATGTTTCCATACTTTGGTCTATTTCTGGACCCTTTTGGTTTTTAGTGAATCCACAGTTGTAAAGACCTAACAGCTCAGGTTCTCATGAATTCAAGGTTTTAAGACACCAAGTGTCCTCCAGCTCTCAGACACCTTGCTTTCCTCATGTCTGGTCGTGGGGCATGGCCAGCTCCCGCTTTAGTTTGAGTAACTCTCAGATCCCTTCTTTGGTTCACACAGGTGTTGGAAGCTTATGGTCAAACAGAATGCACTGCTGGCTGTACAATTACATTACCTGGGGATTGGAAATCAGGTATGTTCTTTGTTTACTGGACAGCAGGTGCAATGGCTGGGTGAAGAGTTCTAGATAAACTAGGATTTGGGTGTTTAGATAGCCTCAATACTCTGGAGGAATGTGGCAGATCCTAAATCTAAGGGTTGGTCCAGGCCTTTCTATCTTGACTGTCTGGCACTGGTGCCAGATGACTTTTCAGTTTTATTCTTCTAGAGTCAATCCATAAATATCTCTCAAACATGGCTGGAGTTATCACCATTTCCCAGTATCCTGGCTGATTCAGTGTGATGTGTTCTAGGCCACGTTGGAGTCCCCATGGCTTGCAATCATGTGAAGCTGGAAGATGTACCTGATATGAACTACTTTGCCGTGAACAATGAAGGAGAGGTGAGTAGGCTGTGCCCAGCATTCGTTTTTACATAATTGTGGTGGGGATGTGTGTATCAGAAAAAGCACACAGTTGTGAGCAGGTTTGTGTTTGATTCTTTCGAGAATTTTAGCAAGGACTTCAGTGTCTGGGAGCCTAACTTTGTCCCCCACAATGAGAATTAAAATCTGGTGCTCTTCATTAGTGTCATTGGTGTTTGTCACTCAGTTTTGTCCAACTCTTTGCAACCCCATGGACTGTAGCTCACCAGGCTCCTCTGTCCATGCATTCTCCAGGCAAGAATACTAGAGTGGGTAGCCATTCCCTGTCCAGGAGATCTTCAATCCTGACCTAGGGATTGAACTCATGTTTCCCACATTGCAGGCAGATTCTTTACCATCTGAGCCCCTTGGGAAGCCCAGTGTTCCTCATACTATAGTGGAAAGCATCAAATTAATCAAAGTGGTGGGAAAAAAAACAAAGATGAAAGGCAGGAGTAGGTGTTTGTAGCAGCTTTTGCTGTTGTCACCACCTCGTCCCACCTTCTGTACAGATCTGCATTAGGGGCACCAATGTGTTCAAAGGATACCTGAAGGACCCTGAGAAGACACAGGAAGCCCTGGACAAGGACGGCTGGCTTCACACAGGAGACATTGGTCGCTGGCTCCCGGTGGGTGCTTCTTCAAAACTTCTGGGTGTCCCTTAACAGTGGAATAGATTTGCTGAAAGTGATAGCCGCTCAGTCATGTCTGACTCTTTGCGACCCCATGGACTGTAGCCTACCAGGCTGCTCTGTCCATGGAATTCTCCAGGCAAGAATTCTGGAGTGGGTTGCCATTCCCTTCTCCAGGGGATCATCCCAACTCAGGGATCAAACCCAGGTCTCCCGCATTGCAGGCAGATTCTTTACCATCATCTGTGCTACCAGGAAAGCCCAAGAATACTGGAGTGCGTAGCGTTCCCTTCTCCAGGGGATCTTCCTGATGCAGGAATCAAACTGGCATCTCCTGCATTGCAGGCAGATTCTTTACCAGCTGAGATACCAGGGAAGCCTGGATACTAGAAATGACTTGCTCAAAGACAGGGGAAAATTTGGTGACTTTTCCAAAGAAGTGTAGTAGTGTATTTTGTTGTTATTGTTGTGATTTTTACTTTTCTTGTGGCAGAAACAACTCAAGATAACTCCATGGGCCTATAGTGTTTGCCTTGTATAGGGATACATATTTTTTCCCCCATTTAACATGTAGAGACATATCAAAATGAGGATGCAGGATTTCTAAGCCAAGTGTATGCAGAGACTAGTTTTTGCCTCTCAGTGACCTTCACAGCCTCTCTTGGTGGAAGACACTGAGACTTTCTTTAAAGCATAGCTTGCTGACAAAAAATCAGCAGTAAGTAGTCTCTGTAAACCCCATCTGTTTTCCTAAGAAGAGAGGAAATTCTTGCATAGTAATGATGGTGCCTTAGAACCCCTGTAGGCAATTTTCAAGAGCTTTCCTCTCTGGAAAGTTTTTGTCTACTATGTGCTGGGGGAGTGGGAATGTAACCAGATTTAAAACCCTCTTCTTGCTCAATATTCTCAAGATTTAAGTCATATTCAAGCAATGTTTGACAACAAAGCCTCTAAGAACACTGGTGCTAATGATGTGTTTCATAGATGTGGGTGTTATGGTAGCATGTCTGTGTCTGTATGGTAAGAGTTTCCAGGTCTAATAAGCCCAAAGTATAGGCAATAGATGTGTTCTCACACTAGAATTACAAAGGGCTGAGCTTTACTCATCACTTTCAGATAATGTCTGTTAGGCTGAGCTGGTGGTTGATTTCTTGAGTTGGCCTTGTTGATGGTTCCAGGGTTGGTTCAGTCTATTGCTCTATTTCGGGTGTGATCATGTGGACTGTATTTGCCACTTGTCCCAGTTCTACAATTCAAATCCCTAAAAACCTAAGCTCCTCAAACCAATTAGCCCAGAGTAGAACCTGCAAATGACCTCGGGTGGCTGGTCAGAGAGCTCTCCCTGGCTCTGTTTCTGTCTTAACAGGCGCAATTACTGACTTGTTTGATTAGCAGTGGCACAGTGGAGCTGTATAGACTGCTCCTGGATCTAATGGGAATAAAGAAAAGGGAGACACGGAGGGGAAGATCTAATTCTAAAGTCTTAATAAAAGATAACACTTTCCCTGTTCCCAAGAGTGCTGGAATGAAGTAATTAGAAATTAAGTTACTAGAAATTAAGAGCTGCAAAATTTCTTTGTTGGATGAGGCAACCATGTACATAATCCCAGTGGGTTCAGGGGACTTTTTCTGAGGCTGCCCACTGACTCTTCACAGACATGTGCAGTATAGACAGGTTTCGTGGAAGGCTGCGTCCCCTTTCTCCAAAGCCAAAAAGAGAAATGAAAGATTGTCCAAAAGTCAATGGAGAGCCCAAGTTTAAAAGGGAAGCTTAAAAACAAAAAAAGGAAGATTACCTCTGATTTCACCTCGCTCTTCACTGACATCACTCAATAGGCTCAGAAACACTGACTCTGTTGTCTTTCTGTCTACTACAGAACGGAACTCTGAAGGTCATCGACCGAAAAAAGAACATATTCAAGCTGGCCCAAGGAGAATACATTGCTCCAGAGAAGATAGAAAATATCTACATCAGGAGCAGTCTGGTGTCGCAGATTTTTGTACATGGGGAAAGCTTACGGGTAACAGACATTTCTTAACAATAGCCAGTTTTATAAACACTGTGCTTAAACTTGGCTTCTTGGGAGTGCGGGAGGATTGATATGCAGAGGTCAGAGTTACTTTAAGCTTAATATTGAGTACCATTTCTTTTTGAACAATCACATTTGAATAGAACACTTTTGTAGAGATGTTAAGTGGGAAAATGAGATTAGAGTTCCATGAGAGTTTGAAATATATGATGAAAAAATAGTAGGATTTAGTTCAGTTCAGTTGCTCAGTCGTGTCTGACTCTTTGCGACCCCATGAACTGCAGCACACCAGGCTTCCCTGTCCTTCACCAACTCCCAGAACTTGCTCAAACTCATATCCATCGAGTCAGTGATGCCAACCAACCATCTCATTCTCTGTTGTCCCCTTCTCCTCCTGCCTTCAATCTTTCCCAGCGTCAGGGTCTTTTCCAATGAGTCAGCTCTTCGCATCAGGTGGCCAGAGTATTGGAGCTCCAGCTTCAGCATCAGTCCTTCCAATGAATATTCAGGACTGGTTTCCTTTAGGACTGACTGGTTTGATCTTGCTATTCCAGGGATGCTAGCCCTGAATGTCAGGCTTGGGAGCCGTCACATATTAGGAATATGTAATGCAGCCTTCTTTGCCCCACCAGGGGGCAGTGCTGCGCTAGTTCACATGCCTTCATTTCCTTTCCAGTCATTCCTAGTGGGAGTGGTGGTTCCTAACCCAGATGCACTTCCCTCATTTGCAGCCAAGATTGGGGTAAAGGGCTCTATTGAAGAACTGTGTCAAAACCAAGTAAGTCTCACTCAGGAAAGCCTATGCACACCCACGGGTCCATCGTGGGAGGGGGATTCCCTGTTCTCCCCACCCTTCAACTTGGGCACCCAGGGTTTCCTGGAGCCTCCTTGCTTGGAAGAACAGACTCTTGCTGTGTCTGTACTGGCTGTTTTTATTAGACTGGAAGATGGGATGGGGAGTTTAAAAACAACTACCGAAATCCCTATTCTTTTCATAGTAAGATGTGCATTGTGAAAAAATTAATTGGAAAATGAGGAATTAATGCCATCCCGAGAAAACCCCTGTTACCATTTAGGTTTGCTTTTTCTTCTCATCATTGTCTTTGAGCAACATTTAGATATCACAAGTGCTTGTGCATACCCCCACATCCTGCTTTTATCCTGATGAATTTAGTAGGTGTTTGAATTGGTTCCTGCTCAGCCTTTCCTTTAGGCTTTTTTAACAACCAGTCTCTAAGCTATGTTTTCTATTCATAGACTATAAAGAAAGCCATATTAGAAGACATGCAGAAAATTGGGACAGAAGGTGGCCTTAAATCCTTTGAACAGGTATGTACTACTCATGTTATCCTGCCCTCTCAAGTCACACTAGAAAGTGTTAAAGTTTGCATTTATTATAGGGTTAAGAAGTTCAGTTTCCAAGGGACTGACTTCAGTGGGACTGTTAACCCATTAATGACAAATGGCAGCGACCTTTGCATTCATTTAGTAGTCCCTCCATGCTGTTCATTATTCATTCTCCTTCTCCACTCATGTCTTTCCCAAATTATTAGTGTGAGAATGAGCATATGTTACTGTTCTCCTAACCCTCCCACGTCATCATGCCACTTCTATAAAAGAAAATATTCTCTAAGTTTCCGCACATAGCATTTATCTTTTTAGTTTTGACCGAGCTGGGTCTCCATTGCTGTGTGTGGGCTTTCTCTAGTTGTGGCGAGTGGGGGCTACTCTCTAGTTGTGGCGTATAGACTTCCCATCGTGGAAGTGGCTTCTCTTGTGGGGCACTGGCTTTTGGGCACACAGGCTTCAGTAGAGGTGGCGTGTGGGCTCAGTAGTCGCGGCAGACAGGCTTAGTTGCTCCGCCATGTATGGAGTCTTCCCAGACCAGGGATGGAACCCGTGTCCCCTGCGTTGGCAGGCAGATGCTTAACCACCGGACCACCAGGGAAGTCCCACATAGCAGGAGGGCTCCACAGAACAGTCCAGACCATTAATAAATGTGTGCACGTGTGCATCTCTTCCAGGTTAAATGCATCCATTTACATCCAGAGCCATTTTCCATCGAAAATGGACTCTTAACACCAACCTTGAAAGCAAAGCGGGGAGACCTTGCCAAGTACTTTGGGACTCAAATCAACAGTCTGTATGGGAACACCCGGGAGTAGGTTAAGGTACTTAGAGCTGCAAGGGGCCCATAAGTATCCTGACTTGTAGGAATGTGGATTAAAAACTAATCTTATATTCATTTTCTCTTTCCTCCTGTTGTTTTACCTACTAAATTATAAAACCATAATTTTAGGGCTTTTAAAAAATATTCAGTGAGAGACTTACCACGTGGAAGCTTAGCCTTGAACTAAATAACTCTTGTCTTTCCCATCTTAAATGTTGCTTAAATGACGTTAGGTGTTAGGACTACTTTTATTAAGATACCTTCCTTCAAGATCCGTCTGTACAGTATCTTTGTTCCTGCCTTGTGATCTCCAGCCTTTGTAAGTGATAACTAGTTCAGGGGCCAAAGTGACCGTTTGGGACTTTTTCCTTGTTTTATAGTTAACCTAGTTCATTGGTGGTCTCAATATTTAGAGTTTCCAGTATTCAAATTAAGAGACCTTTAGATTCTGAGGAACTTATGAACACATTTTCTAACTATTCCATAAAACCCCTAACATTAAGTAGAGTTTTAAGCTATAACAATATTAATCATGTTTAGGAGACAGATTTCTTCTATGTCTTTCTGTGTTCGCTAAAGTCTGTGTCCAGAAAAGGAAGAATGTGATCCCACTGAGCACTTCCTAAACTCTCTAGTTTCTCTGACTTGGGAGAAGGTAAAACTGGGCCTGTGACACTCTGTCCAAAAAGAATGTTCTGAGAGTGTTTTCCACCAGTATACCTGGTGACTGAATCTATTCCTACCAGTTTGCTGCTGAGCTGGAAGCTATGGGTAAAGGAGCTGAAGCTCATGTCAAGCGCACCTTTCCAGTAAATGAAGCAAGCGCCGAATGGCAACCTCCTGATCTGGGAATACAGGCACGAAGCCTGCACAACAGCCACACCTCCTGGGAAGGAATCGACTGATCTTTCCTCCCGACTCCACTTCCTGCTGTCCCTTACCCGCCTTCAACACGTACCAATATCGCCTGAAAATATAAAGTGTTAAGAATAAACTATTGTAGAACACTGAATTTTGTGGTGTGTTTCCTCATGGATCGTGAAGAGTCAGCCTGAGACCAGGGTTCCTTGACAATCACGGAAGCTAATGGCTCTCAAACTTGGCTAGGCACTAGAATTACCTGGGAGTTTAAAAAGATACCAATGCTTGTGTAACACTTCATGGATTCTGGCTAACCTGGCCAGGGGTACAGGGTGGGCATTGGGATTTTTAAACGGTCCCTAGGTGATTCTAGAATGCCACTATGTTTGACAGCTACTGAAGGAAATGACCGTGAGGATCAGGCCTTCTATCCCACAGCTGTGAATACAAAAAATACCAGTCGAAGTCTGACTCCAGCTGAGCACAATGTGTGCTCTTTCTCCTTTATCATCCATGTAGTCTTGAAGTGTTCCTTTCTGGTCTTTCTAGACCCTGAGCTCAGAAGAGCTATTCTGGGATATTGAGACGGAAGGGAAGGCAGGAATGAGTTTCCCTGCATGTCTAGCTCCTGTTGTCTCCTTGACCTCCTTTCCCACTACCCCCTCACTCATTCCGGCTGAACCCACACTAGCTGCCTTCCTGTCCTCAGACATGCCAGGCACATTCTAGCCTGTTGTTCTGCCTAAAAGGCAGATGCTCCAAGAGACACATGACTTGTCCCCTCATATGCTTTAAATGTCACCTCCATCAGACTGTTCCACCTGCTTTCTTCATAATACATGATTCCAGCTGACATACGTTTTACTATCCGTCTACCTCCCTAGTCCTCACTGGAGTGGGACAAGAGTCCTCTTTCATGCATTGCTGAATCCCCAAGTGCCCTTCCCTTAGTGTTCACTGTTACAAGCCAGACCCCCAATCTCAAGTTCTCTGCCTTGGAAAGAATTACTCTTTGAACAGGTGACTACTAATTCTACTCTTGTGTTTAGAAGAGCCTGACTTTAAGTCTCCAAGTCCACCAGCCTAGAACCTACTACTCACATCTGCTTCAGCCTTGGATAGATTCAAGCGAACATGAGCAGACATGATTAGGTTGAAAGTCTCCTAGACAGCGGCCAAGATGGTATAATATACAAAGACCCTGAGTTCACCTTTCATGGGCACACCAATATCACAACTAGCTGCAGAACAACTATTGATGGAAAAAACTAGAACTTACCAAAAAAGATCTTCTACAACTAAAGACATAAAGAATGAACCACAGTGAGAATGGGCTGTTGAGAGCAGACTTGTAAGGGCAGATATATTCAAATCCCATACCACTTGGCTGGGCGATCCTCAAACTGGAGAATAATTACATAGCAGAGGTTCTCCCACAGGAGAGAATCCTGAGCCCCATGTCAGGCTCCCCAGCCCAGGGATCTGGCATCAGAAAGACAAGCCCCAGAAAACTGGGGGAAATACAGACCTCACTTTTCAAGAGTACACATAAAATTTCATGTGCACTGGGACCCAGGGCAAAAGCAGTAATTTGATAGGAGCCTGGGCTACATCTACCTGCTGGTCTTGGAGAGTCTCCTGGAGGGGCAAAAGGCAGCTGCGGCTCACCCTGGGGACACAGACACTGGAGGCAGACATAATACGGAACATTCAACTACATGAACCCTCCTGGTGACTGCCATACTGGCTCATCTGCACCAAGACTTGGCCCCACCCAACAACCTGAAGGCTCCAGTGCTGGGATGCCTCAAGCCAAACAACTAACTGGGGAGATACAGCCAGACCCATCAGGAGACAGGCTTCCTAAAGACTAAAGAGCCCACAATCGTGTCCTGAGATGCCCCTAGGCACAGCCTAGTCCACCATGGGGTCAAAGTCCATCTCCACCCACCAGTGAGGAGATAATAGCTGCAAACTTCCCTAATCTGAGAAAGCAAACAGCCAAGTCCAGAAAGTACAGAGTCCCGTACAGGGTTAACTCAGAGAGGCACACACCAAGACACAGTGCCGTCAAAATGACAAAAATGAAGATAAAAAGAGAGTACTAAAAGCAAGGGAAAAGCAACAAATAATATACAAGGGAACTCCCATACACTACAAAGCTACAGTAATCAAAACAGTATGGTACAGCTACGCAGACAGAGATTAATAGAGCAGGATAGAAAGTCCAGAAATAAACTCACACACACCTATGGTTAATTAATCTATGACAAAGGAAGCAAGAATATACAGTGGAGAGAGGACAGTCTTTTCAATAAGTGGTGATGGGAAAACTGAACAGTTTACATGTAAAACAATGAAATTAGAACATTCCTCAAATACCATACACAAAATTAAAGCCAAAATGGATGAAAGACCTAAACGTAGGACCGGATACTATAAAACTCCTAGAGGAAAACACAGAACACCCATTGATATAAATCACAGCAATACTGTTTTGAATCCATCTTCTACAGTAATGGAAAGAAGAACAAAAATAAACAAGTGGGATCTAACTAAACTTAAAACCTTTTGCACAGGAAAGGAAACCATAAACAAAACAAAAAGAGAACCTGAAGAATGGGAGGAAATATTTGCAAAGGATACAACCTACAAGGGATTTATTTCCAAAATATAGAAACAGCTTAAAATTAACCCAATCAGAAAAGGGCCAGAAGACCTGAACAGACATTTCTCCATACAGATGATGGCCAACAGGCACATGAAAGGATGCTCAACACTGCTAATTATCAGAGAAATGGAAATCAAAACTACAATGAGGTATTTCCTCACAGATCAGAATGGCCATCATCAAAAAGTCTACAAATAATAAATGCTGGAGGTGTGGAAGAAAAGGAACCCTCCTACATTGCTGGTGGAAATTGGTATAGCCATTACAGAAAACAGTATGGAGGTTTCTTAAAAAACTAAAAATAAGTTACCATACGATCCCACTCCTGGACATATAACCGCAAAAGTTGAAAACACTAATTTGAAAAGATACATGCATCCCAATGCTCACAGCACCACTATTTACAACAGCCAAGCCACAGAAGCAACCTAAATGTCCATGAACAGATGAATGGATACAGATGTGGAATAAATACAGTGGAACATTACCCAGCCATAAGAATGAAATAATGCCATCTGCAGCAACATAGATGGACCTGGAGACTGTCATACTGGGTGAAGTCAGATGGAGAAAGATAAAACATCACATACTTAACATGTGGAATCTAAAAAATGATACAAATGAACTTATTTACAAAACAGAAATAGACTCACAGACATAGAAAACAAACTTATGGTGACCAAAGAGGAAAGAGGCAGGGAGGGATAAATGAGAGATATGGGAGACATTACAGATATACACTAGGGCGTCCCTGTTGGTTCAGCAGTAAAGAATCCACCTATAATGCAAGAGACATGGGCTGGATTCCTGGGTCAGGAAGATCCCCTGGAGAAGGGCATGGCAACCCACTCCAATATTCTGGCCTGGAGAATCCGACAGACAGTGGGGACTGGCAGGCTACAGCACATAGGGTCACAAAAGAGTTGAACACAACTAAGCATGCATACATACACACTACTGTATATAAAACAGATCAGTGAGATCCTGCTGTATGTACACCACAGGGAACTATATTCAATATCTTGTAATAACCTATAATGGAAAAGAATCTGCAAAAGAATATATATGTGTGTGTATATATATACCTGAATCATTGCTATATACCTGTGACACTGTCAATCAACTATACTTCAATTTTTAAAAAGTTACTAGAATCCTGTGATCTCAATATTCTATTAATTGAGTATTTGAGGCAAACATGTATGTCTTAAGACTTATGATCAAGGATGTCAATTTTCTAAGAGGTGGTAAAGCAGCAGTTTCTCCATAAGGAACTAAGACTCCTTTTTAGTCAGCAAAAAGAAAGATGCTTGGAGTAAAAACTATGATTTATACAGAACAAGCCATTGATCTTTATTTGATTTGACAAAATCATCATTATTAAAAGACGGGTAATAAAATCTGAGCTTATATTGAATCTGACAAATTAATTTCTATAGTATCTAGAATATCAGAAATTCGGCCGAGGGGGAAAGAGGATAAAAGCATCGCGTGCAGATGCTCCTGGTAGAGGGGGATCTCTATCTGCAGGTCAGGTCCGCCACGTGCAGCGCACACAAAATCCTAGAGAAAATGCAACCGACTCACTTGGGTGAAGTGTTTTTCCTTTGGGGAGAGGAGAGGTGGCAGAGAGGTGCAGGACTTCAAAGGCATGTGCAGAATGGCTTCTCCATTTCAAAGTGGTAATAAAAATATTTAGATCATGGCACTAGGGCACCTTTGAGGAAAAGAACACCTTAACCAGAGTAGGCTCATTGCATAATTCTTTAGTAATATGTACAGTTTTCAAGTAATGGAGCAGACTGAGAGGAATTTTACTTCAAAAGTGGCTATCTATTTTTCTTCTCGCCCTCTGGGGCTTGATCAGTTTCGGCATCGCAGGGGCACTTTTCTACACAGTTTCTAGGGAACCATCCTCTTATTCTTGAAACACCTGAGGAAGAAAATGAAATTGGTATGAGATATACCAAAATGACATCTGTGAGACTTGTAAATCCTATTACTTCAAACTGATAAGCTTTTAATTACCCCCCCCCATTTTGATAAGCACAACTTGAGGCTAAAATTAACTAACTAAATAAATAAAAATTCAAAATATATACATTCCCAACAAGCTAGAAAATAGGTATTTCCCAAGTTCCATCATCTGGGAAAGGACCCGTATGTTCAGGAGTGCTCCAGTGGAGTGGGGGGGACCTGGTGTCCACGCACGTGTGTGTGACTGCAAGGGAGTCTGACACAGTAACACTTCTGTTCTAGGGACCTATCTCTCTGGAGATATGTTTTTTAGATCTTTTTCTAACACATGCACTTCTGTATCAAGCTTGCATAACCTATCACATGGGCTAATTTATGATTAACCCAGTGTTTTCAAAAGAGCATCCTAGGTTAATCTTTAAAGAAATAATTCTTAGTGTAAATTAAAAAAATCAAAGACACGGAATGTTTCAATTCACTAGTTTTTATCACAATAGAATGATTCACTCAATGGGTGCATGTATAGCATAGCAGCTTAGTCACAGGCTCTGAGCCAGACTGCGTGGGCTGGAGTCGTGGCTCTTCCTGCATGTAGTGTGGCCTTGGGCAGGCTGCTAAGCCTCCCCATATTTCAGTTCCCTCACCAACCAAATGCCAATGACAGCATGAACCTCAGAGGGCTGCTGGGGACTGAACACCACAAGTGAAGTATGTCCCGCAAGTGTGTGTTGCATATTTAAGTACGGGATCCAATGTTCACTAATCACTGCAAAGACCCGATAAATACAAGTGCTATGGAGAAGTAATACACGGAGCTGCTTTTTGCTGCTTATTGAGTGCCTTCCTGTAGTTCCCCTAATGCATGTGACTGTTTTATAAAAGCTTTCTTGCAAAATTTGCAGTTATTGCTGGCAGTCTTTTCTTTTAAACACTTGCTTCCATGTTCATACCTTCTAAAATGGAATCATCAAGAATTTTGTCTCCATACAACCAGTACCTGAAATATTTAAAAGATTAAAATTAATTTTTCTTTTTAGGTTAGATGGCAATTTCATTATTCAAGAAGAAATTCAGTATTTTCTGTTACTTACCGTAACCCTCTTGTGGCTAAGATGAATTCCCCTTTCTGTAGCCTTATCCGAGGCTCTTCAGTGCAGGGGCTCGTGAAGAATGTTTTAATTCCTCTATTCAAAGGACAGCAGGTACCACTATAATCTTCTATCACTTTATACCGGACCTGGCATCAGTGAGTAGAACAATTTAACATTAATCCGTGTATGAAGCTTTCTAAGCTTGAATGTAAACTGTTAAAGGGAGACCGAGAATATCAGGCAACAAGTCTTTCCCTTCTGGTTCGCTATCTACCCAGTTCCCTTATAGAAGGTAATTAATTGATGCTTCTAATTCTCAGGCTTTTCTTACCCTTCATTTCAAGCACATGGCTAATAATAAAATTTTAGAAGCAGTGCTGCCCAATGAAACTTTTTGCAATGGTGGAGATGTTTTATACTTGTGGTATACAGTGTGGTATCCCCTAGCCACAGTAGATACTGAACACTTTTAATGTGGTTGGTGCAACCAAGGAATTTAAATTTGAATTTTATTTAATTTAAATTAATTTAAATTTAAATAACCACATGGAGCTTGTGGCCACTGAATTAATTGTTCAGCATCACTTTAAAGACAAGTTTTCCACTAGGGAACTATATTGAGGATAATTATCTATTGACAATGTAAATTGATTAAATTCCCTCCAAACCTGTAGTCCAAACTATCTGAATGAAAACAAAAGTAAAATGCATCAAAGTTCAGTAAGTGTATTAAGAAATATTTAATAAAAGCCAACAGTTGGTTTTTTACTTAGAGGCAATTTTAAAAGCTACATAGAAGTGCTGAGCCTGACAAAAGGAAAAGAAATTAGGATCACTGTAAAATAATTACTTACACTTCTGACTCTTTTATCTGCTTTTTGTTTCAACTGTTCTATCTGTTTGGAAGATACAAAAGGAAAAAATGAAATCTCATATCTTAACACTGAAAAACAGGGTTTCCTCATTTACTGTATCAGAGTGACATGACAAACTCCCAATTTTCCAACATTTCAAATTGCTACAATTTAAAGATTACATTTTTTTTTTAATAAAGCATGGAAAAAAGGCTCTGTGACTAAAAACCGACACTGAAGTGGGACTTTCTTCTCAGTGTTCCCTCTCCAATGTCTTTATCTGTGCATAATCACAGAGCACTCCCTGCGGCCCAGCAATCAAGGATATGTGCTCTCTGCCTTCCGGGGGCTGCCAGGCTAGTCCCTTAAGATGAAGTAGTTCAGAGACCCACTGAGTCTTTACAGAGACTGCAAAGTTCATCAACAATGAGTCTTGATTAAAAGTCATCATTTCGCCTCCTCTTTTCCACTTATTCAGCTACAATCTGTTAAATGACACTACACTAGATATAAGGGGAAATAATCTCTGCTTAGAATCTTGCCAAATTAAAGATACAAAGATTAAAATGGATTCCTCATGTGCTCATAAAACTAGTATATGATCAGATGCCAAATCCAGATGAGTCTAGATGGGGGTAGGGGGACTGGAGCTGGTCTGAGTAATTTCTGATAAAGAGGAGGTCATATGGCATAGAAAAAACTGTGGGGGAAGAACTGTATCAGGGATTTGCTGAGTGGACTAGGCTGATTGGAAAGGCTGATTCCCTCCAGGATGTAGGTGTCTGACAAAATGTGGTCCAGTGAAGGGAATGGCAAACCACTTCAGCATTCTTGCCTCGAGAACCCCATGTGTACGTGTTAGTTGCTTAGTCATGTCCGACTCTGTGCAACCCCACAGACTGCAGTCCACCAGGCCTCTCCGTCCATGGGATTCTCCAGGCAACAACAGTGGAGTGGGTTGCCATTTCCTTCTCCAAAAGGAACTATACAAAGAAAAAAAGTGAAGTAGCTCAGTTGTGTCCAACTCTTTGCGACCCCATGGACTGCAGCCCACCAGGCTCCTCCATCCATGACATTTCCCAGGCAAGAGTACTGGAGTGGGTTGCCATTTCCTTCTCCACGAGAACCCCATGAACAGCATGAAAAGGATGTAGGTGAAAGGTAGCTTTTGGCTGGGTTTTATAAATCCAAGGTAAGGAATCAGGACTTTATCTCACAGGTATGGTGAGATAAGAGATTTAAATTGAAGGAGGGACAGGATACAAGGAGTGCTTGGGAATATACTTAGATTCATTTTGACATGCTGTAACAATTCTTATTACTTATTTTACTATAAAATGCCATCGGAGTTAAGGAGAAGTTAAGAGGAAGAAGGTGGAGCAAAAAGGAAGACTATTTGAACAAAACACTCACTGTTAAGCTGTACTGGTGACAGCCTTCTCTTATTGGCCAATCCAGTCCATCTCCTTCAGGGACCCCTGACCATGTGAATACTTGTTTGAAGTTCTTCCATCTACTTCCCATATCATAAGGAAAAACAAAGACTTCATCTAGTTGATAATATTGAATTCGATCTTTAGCCTGTGGGTAACGAAGAGGTAAGATGGCAGAAAAACCTGCCCTAAGTGGCTTTTGGCAACAGACAACTGAGAACAGTTATTCCTCAAATTTGTATCACTTCTAAAAATACTTCCTCCTTGTTACAACATTAGAATACACAGGGGTAATAAACACTTATCACAACATAGGAAGAACTGGACACACAAACACCAACCTTGTATAAGATCATCCACAAAATGTGTGACAGGGCTTTTTTGGGAATAAATCTAAAGACTGAATTTAAGCATTCAAAAATGCATATTAAAAGTTAGTAACTTTATTTCATATATAAAAAATCCTCAATGTTCCTACTTGTTCAGTAGAACAAAAGAATCCAGGTGTAAAGAACAGATGTTAACAAAGAGATTTAAGAGAAAACAAGGGTTTATTCAGGCTGGAAGGAACTTGTAGGAATGGCCAGGAAAGGTGTGACAGGTGAGTTATTTTATGAAAATTATTATTTTTTTTTAAGTTAGCAGGTAAGTGTAAGAGATCTTTCAGTTTTACATATCATTACATATGTCTGCATACTTACATAGGCATTTATATGCATATTTTATGCATATATATATCCAGGTTTCATAAATTATATTCTCAGCATTTAAATTGTCATCTTTTTACCTAAGGGAATAAACTGGCTTAGAATTTCTGAATTTCTACTGACACCTAGTGGTATAAAGATAACATTGTTTATTCCTACAATAAGTATACAAACCCAGTTGATATTTATTGTGTAATAAAATGTGGTGATTTTGACCCATTTTCTTTAACTTAATAGAATCGTTTATTTGATTTTTATTGAGCAATATAGTGCCAGTTTTAAAATAACTTCCAGATTTAGTGTGGCACTTTACAAATAGCCTTGGTCATCGGCAAAACAGTTAATCTAATGTCAACATGCTATGCTAACTAGAGATTATACCTTGAAATATTATCATCGAATAGTATTTTAGAGAAAAGCTTCTTGCAGTTACTTATAAAGTGATATTGGTAATAATTCAATTACAAGAATTGTCAAGCTGTAACATGAGAACATGTAAGTCCATCCCCACCCTGATAATAAGTAACTTCTTTTCCCTTCTTAGAAACAGAAACTTCAGCATCTTAAAATGGATTAAGAGCCTCAGAGAAGAGAGACCTAGAATATTAAAAAAGACAAGTTAAGGATGAGAGCAGCTTACAAAAACAACAGAGGCATGGAGTCTGTCTGAGAGAAGCACACAGTGAAGAGGGAACTCCGTGCACAGCATGTGTTAGAAACCAACAGAGACGTGCGCCAGGGGCCATGGGAAAAGGGAGGAAAAGGACTTCACTTGGCCCAGGGACAGTCAAGCAAGGCTCCTCAGAGGAAGTGACAGCTGAACCGAGTCTCCAGGGGCAAGAAATAAGGGAAAAAGAGGTAGGAAGAATGTTCTAGGCAGAGGGAGCAACATGTGGAAAAATACAGAAGCAAAAGACGTGTAAACTATTTGGTATTAGCCGGTATGGAGCATGAATAGATGGGGAGGGGTGGAAATGAACTAGAAAAGCAGGTAAGGGGAAGACATGAACAGTCTTCATGCATAAGCCAAGGAGCTTGGACGTAAACTTGTACATCCATGGTTCTAAAATTATGTTTTGCGCATCTCCTTCAGTCCCCAAGACCTCTTCTTGGGGTTGAACAAAGTCATACAACTTTGATAACAATACTAAGACATTCTTGCCTTCTTTCATGGTGTTGACATTTGCAATGGTGGGTGAAATTGCTGGCACCTTATGTTGGCATCAAGACAGGCACCAAGGTGTTATATTCTTCATTGCTACATACTCCATTCACAGCAAACCAAACCAACAAAAAGCCCAGTTTTCCATAAAAATGTCTTGATGAATAAAAGTTATTTTTATTAAATCTCAGCCCTCAAGTAGATGTCTTTTTAATATTCTGTGTGACAAAATAGGAAATACACATAAAGCATGACAAAATGCTCATCTTAAGGAAAACACCTGTATGAGTTGTGAGTCAATTAAAGCTGTGCAGCCAGCTTTTTTCATGCAATGCTATTTTTGTTTGAAAGAATGAGTGATGTAACAGACAAACCAAAGTTAGTCAGGCTTCAGTATTTAGTGGATGTCTTCTTGAAAATGAACAAAGTCAAGCTATTACTTCACATAACAACTATTTGTTGCTAGTGAAAAATGTAAGGCTTTCAAATAAAAATTAGAATTTGGAAAATTTACATCACCATTATGAGCTTGATGGCTTTCCAATATTTAAAGATTTCCCCCATAAAACTGGTAGTGATACGAATGGATTTACATCTTGAATAATGAACTATGTCAACACTCTAAAAATCTGTGTAACTCTGTAAACCAGTATGTTCCAAAGACCAATGCCTGATGCCCTATATGGGTAAAAGATCCATTCAAAGAGAAAGACAGATTGATGGATTTGAATACAAAAGAATACAAAAACTTGACTGATGTAATTTTAGATCTAACATGCAACTAACCTCTCAACAACTAGAACTTGTCAAATTATAATGTATTGTTACTACCAAAGAATATCCATCATTATCTAAAAGGCATGTTAAAATATCCTTTTCAACCTACTTATCTGTTTAAGGCTGAATTTTCTTCATATACTTCAATCAAAGCAACATATCTCAACAGACTGAACGGAGAAGTAGATGTGAGAATCCAACTGTCTTCTGTTGAGTCAGATATTAAAGAAATTTGTAAAAACATAAAACAATGCCACGCTCCCTATTCTGTTTATTTTGGAAAATTTAATTATTTTTCCAGAAATGTTATTTTATTAACATATAATGGATTTATTATTGTTATTTTTAAATGAAATAATATTCAAAGGTTTTCTCAGTTAGAAAATATGGCAAATGTCAATAGATATAATACCCAATAGTATAATTAACAAAAGCTCTTTAGTGCACGTAACAATTTTTGAGAATGTAAAAGGTCCTGAGGGGCTTTCCTGATGCTTCAGTGGCAGAGCATTCACCTATCAATGCAGAAGATGTGGGTTCCAACCCAGGGTCAGGAAGATCCCCTGGAGAAGGAAACGGCAACCCACTCCAGTATTCTTGCCTGAGAAATCCCCCAGACACGGCCTAGAGGGCTACCGTCCATGAGGTCGCAAAAGAGCTACGCATGAATTAGTCGCTAAACAACAAACAACAAAAGGTCCCAAGACTGAAGTTTGAGAGCTGCTGCTATAAATTAAAACTCACCAACTGGCTGCTAGGGGCCTAAATATGTCCTATAGGTTGTTTTCTTTGGCCCATGAAGGTTTTCTGTTTATTTTGCTTTTAATTTGAATTGCTTCCCAATGCTTACAAACAAAGAAGGTAACATAAAAATCCAGATCTCTGGTTTTTCTTGGAAAAAAAAATGACATGATCTCTCAATACTCGGTGAGGATTTCTCTGTGGCAACAATGAGCTTAGTCTGCTGGGCAGCTCTGGAGCACAGGCTGGCTCCACTCCTCTAGGTTATCTGCCTGGGCCCCAGTGCACTGGGTTTAAAACCCCAGTAAGCTACAGGGATGGAAAGGCTCTGAGAAGTTTTAAATAGGGAGCAGGGCATATTTTAACATCAGAATCACAACCGACAGTGTGAAGTATGTATTGGAGGTTGTGAGGTTTGTGACAAGCTACATGTTTTAAGCTCTATCTGATGTGTAAAGCCTATGGGATGGCATGTTGGTAGGACAGAAGCTCCCTTCCCGATGGAGACTCCCTTCTCCTCCAGTCTGAGAGTATGGCCAAATGGCTTCTATGTGACTCAGAACAATTCAATGTGACATGGTTCTGTGGGAGTTTTACTGAAACAGGAATAAATCAAACGGTTCCTATAATCACCCTTCACATGGCATGCAAATGACATAAGGAAGCCATTTGGTAGTCAAGCTTTCATTTGGGGACATTTACTAGTTAATCTGATCTATTAGTTAATCAGCACTTTACCAAAATTAAGAAAATAATTCTAAAATTTACCTTCTCTTCAATCCATGATTCAATAGAAGTTTTGTTTCTGAGAATTATTTTCATCTGGAAAGAGTAAAATTTAAAATGTTACTGGTTCATTTAAGATTATCATCTTAAAAAAAAAAATTATCATCTTTACACTACCCCTATGAGACAGTTTTTATTGCTCCAATCCATACATGAAGGTATCAGGACAATAGAGATTAAATAAAAGAGCACGTGGTTCATCTGACTCTAAACCACTGGACTACATCTTCATATGACTACATCAATCCACCATCAAATCTGAATCTACGGCTTAAATAAAAAATCATGCTTTAAGTACTACCTTCTGAATAAGTTTTCCAGAGTACTAATAAAATATTGATACAATCCATTCAATCAGCATTAACATATTTTGCCATTAAAATTTTACCACTATTTTTAATAAATCTTAAATGCATGATTAGCCTATTTATTACAAGTAACAGTGACTCATTACAGTCAACCTAGACATTCTGTTTGCCTTAAAAACTGAGTATACTCAGTCTTGATGCTATTTTTGATTTTTCTAGAAATGACAATTCCATTTATGTAGGTTTTTACACCACATGACTTTAGTTTATTTCTAATATGATTCTTAATTACAGGCATTGGGGAAAACTTTTCAAAGAATTTGATTGCAGGCTAGGAAAAAATATGAAATATAACCCAAACCAGGTTATTTTAAAACTAAGAGTTCAAAAAGGGTTGCGTAATGCACCGGGGCCTGCTAGCGCAGCGTTTCTAATTCTATGAGTTCTGCAATTCTCTGGTGTCTGGTTGTGCCTTCATGGAGACAGTGTGATACAGTAAGAACAACCCTGGACTAGGAGTCCTTACCATATTCCAAGGGCCTAGCACAATACCTGGTTCATGGTGGACCTTTAATGAATGAAACAAATGCAATGAGTCCTAAGAACTATTTTTTGATCTCTTCAGGGTCACATCCTCCTTCTCTGGTCGCTCATAGCACTTTGTACATAAATCTACGATATACACATGACCCTGATTTAATGACAGGAACATCTTCATTCTCATTATTGTAGACTCAGAAATTAGCAGAGTGATTCATCATAGAGCAGACATTAAGTAGCACCAATATCACAGGGTTGTTATGGAGATTAAATGAGCTAACATATGTAAAAGACCTAAAATAGCACTCCATAAACGTTAGCTATGTTATTATGCTTTTGATTAATATGCCATTATAAAATAACATTAATAATTATGTTTACTGAATGCACGAATGGATGATATTGGGTATGTCACTTAACCTTCTTGTGACTCAATTACTCATCTGCAAGGAAGGGAAAATAATACTCCTCTTTGACTTCTTTTGGGGTTGATGTGAACATCAAGAGATACTGTGAGAAGAGCTTTCTCAAGGATAAAATGCTATGTAACTCTAACTTAGGATTTTTTAAATTAAATCATTACCAAGAAACGCTGGCAGAGTCACTTTGAAATTATCTGACAAGCAGGAGATAAAATTCATCACTTAGATGGAAAAAGTAACAATAATCTCCATTTCACACAGCATACTTAAATGCAGCTTTTTTTCCTCTTTCTCATTACAAGCGGCCCCAATTACTCGACAGTGTTACCTAGAGGTAATAGAGGAGCTTACCTGGATAAAAAACAACATCCCAACAGCTATGGTTGTTCCTAAAGCTAATCCCAAGGCAAACAAGGTGGCAGCAAATGCAGCTAATCCAAAAGGAATAATTGGAAGAGGGTCTCTCCGGGCTGCACTCATATCAATCTTGACCGTGTTCCACCCAAAGGAGAGCTGCAAACAACACCACCCACAAGAAATACTTGGTTGTCGTAAATGGTGAGACTCTACTGTACCATTTAGAATGACTTGATCAAGAAGATCAGCAAATGACAATGTGCTACTGTGGCCAAAGAAGACGTAACTTTTCTAATTAACACTGTGGCTTGAACTCATAGTGACATGTGTGATATCCTCTTTGGTATTGTCACATGTTTTTTGTTTGTCATTGTCTGCTTAGAAAGCATTAGGTAGACTGCACATGCATTACTGGGGATGAATGACAGTGGACACAAATCTAAGTTGTAACTGTGTCTCCCATCTGCTCCTCGCTTTCCTATAGTTACAGTGCTCTTCCATCATGACAAAGATAGCTTAAGATTCAGTGGTTTCTTCCCTCTTGTTCCACAACCAGAGGTTTAAGAACTAGTAACATGTAGGTCAAAACATGTCCTGCCTGGCCTGCAAAATGTTTTAAAATATTCAGAGTGAGGTACCAACATTTAGAAATTTAGTGGTTTAGAAATCAGATTGCATATAGAAAGTCAGGGTTTTCAGATTTTTCTTGAGAAACCAGATGATCTGGCACTGCCAGGCTGGATTTCCAAACATCAATAAATGGCTAAAGTAAAATATGGGTTGTCCTCTGTGTGAAGGGCATGTGTTTTCCAGTTTCCCATTAGGCCTGGGGCCCTCATTTACCTTCCAGGCCTCCGTAAGGACCTGAATTTGTGACCACCAAACTTTATCTCATAACCATGTGCTCATAAATCAACTCGATCAGTTGTATGACATTTAAGAACGTACACTTGCTCTGTGAGCCATGTTCCAGAGCACTGGATTCAGAAATGAACGAAAGAACTGCAAACAGCCACAGGATCGAATGGAAACAGACAGTACTTGTATTGTCTTTTTCTTCCCACTTCTGCCTTTTCCTCTAACTATCCTCTATCATAGCTTATTGAAGTCCAATAAGTTATACATAGTATAACTTCAACTATAGCATATATGGTGAGTTTCCAGAACACAATACTCTTTCCTCATCTTAAAACTGTTTTAAAGCTTTTTTAAAAAAGGAATCCTTGTAAAGGTAAAACAAAGTTCTATTTCCCCACCTAAACTGCAGAACACCTATTTCTAAAATGGACTTCTTAGACAATCTTGATAACTACTATTTAATTTCTCATGATTTGATAACAAACGTTTTCACTTACCCGATTATAAAGCTGCGTATACATTGTCATAACAAAAATAAAGGCAGCGTGAATACTACCCAGTGGTGCTAAAAGGAGGAACAGTGTGAAGGAAGCATGATTCTGGTAGCCGCAGCAGTTGTTGATCCAAGGACAGTGATGGTCCATCTTCATCACACATCTAACAGGAAAAATTTATAGAAAACATGAGGCAGAAAATCCTGTCTACTTGAAATAACTTTGGTCTTCAAAAGATCAAGCACATAGGAATCTAGAATGTCCACGCATGAGTCACAGAGGAATAATACTTTATAGAACAGAAAGAAAAATTTTTATGAGTTTTTAAATAACTATGAACAGTGACTTCTTTTAAATTTTAAAAAGGTAAAGAGAGGGCAGGCTTTGTAATGGCTTCTGAGGAAAGACATCTGCTACAAGTAAGTTTGTTTAAAGAAGTCAGGAGGCCCACTGAGAGGTTCATTATAAAAAAATAAGCATGGTTCCTGATTTTCCTCTTGCTCTGAAATGCAGTGACTGGAGTGGAAAACAACAGAGACTGAACAAAATTACTTCTAAATCTCCACTGGGGCTGATGTGGCCTGGCAAACGCTTGTAACTTCCTTCCTTCCTGTTCTTATCCTTTACAAGTGGAGTCTCTGAGCTAAGCAAGCTAACTTTGGAATATAAGATATGGTTTAGTAAGTGAAGTCTTACTCTGTTTCCTTTCCTTGAGGTTGTTAGAAGAAAATTTTCTTGCCTCAAACTAAACTTTATTTGCCCCTCCAATGGTCCCCCTAAACCTCAGAATTAGCATCATAAATTTCTTATTTATCAGTGGATACAGATGTTCATTTACAAAGGTTCTATCAATAGCTTAATCCACATTTTTTACAGTGATTCTGTTTTCTTCCAATTAAGGCTTTTATATTAAATATTTATGACAATAGGCACCTGAATTCACTTATTAGATTTATATAAGTGTAAATGTGACTCAACTAAATAATGGAAAAAGCAGGTCTCCTTTATAATTTAGACTCAGAACAATTCTAAGGCTAGTTAATATGACAGTCGACAGTTAACCCTGATTTATGAAAACAACTTAAAGTATAACGTTTTATCCTGTTCCTGTCATGGCAGGAAGAAACAGTGAGACCTTCATGATCAGAATTGACAATTTAAAAGTAAAATGAAGATTATGGACACAAGTATTTTAACAACATTGTTTATAAAGTAGTCACCTTGCAGGGAATAAAACTAGGATTGATGTGCTAGAGAGAATAACAAAGGGCCAGTAATCAAGTTGATCAATCTTCAATAAACAGCAAAGACAGACAGTACCTGTTACACTTTCTGCAGTGGTGTGACCGCGGTGCCTTGTATGCTTGGCAGACTTTACAATATTGGAGGTACACGCTATCCTGAGAATTTTCCTTGGCAGTGAAATGTAAACAAAACATAAATTTCTGGGTAATTGGAAAAGTGATATTCCTATGATCAGAAATTCATCATTTAAAAAAAAATTTTAGCTCAAAAAGAAGGGCTGGAAATGCAAGCTAAAATTCAAATTCCATCTTTTTCCCATCTCCCATAAATGAAAATCAAACCACAGTATTTATTCATAAGGCTTGGCTTGTTATAAGCTGTCCATTGTTTCTGAATACTTTATAAACTAGTAGCTTCTAAAGCAGTTTTCTCAGTTATGAGGGATGTTAATATGTGGCGTGAAAAAAAAATCCGAGTGCCAAACCACACTGTGGAATTATGAGGTACACGACATACAGTGTTTCCTAGACACTTAAGACCATGTACTCATTATTACCACTCCATTTTTTTAAATTTTTCATTGAAATGACTTTGGGAAATACTTTCAAGCAGCTATGAAAAAAACTCTTTGAGTTCTAAATGACCAGTGATTAGAATAATATGCTTAGTCTCTACCAAAGTAAAAAGTAGGCTATGTTTGATATTACTGGTTGGCAGGTAAGGCAAAAACTAAATATATGATTATCATGAGGGTTCACCACTTTAAGGAACCTTTTTCTTACCGGTTTCCACCCCAGAGGGACGAAGCCAGGACCAACAAACATGGCATTGAAGTAATTATAAAGAATCATGACAGTCCAATTTATCAACATGATGAAATTCACACTTCCTCCAGTGGTATGTAAGGGCCAATACCACAACACAGAGTCAATCATGGCCATGGTGGAACATATTGCTATAACACCAAGGGCTATAATGGGACCCCAGTGACAAAGTCTCTTTAATTCTTGGAGATTTTCAAACTTGACAACTGAGCAGAATGTACCCATTTTGGTGAGGAAAAATGTCTGTCAGTTTTTAAACAATTACAGATTTCCTTTTTCTGTGCACACATTTCCTTGTGCCACAAGTCCGTGTGTGTTTCTTAATTGTCATGTCTTCACGTTGTGGGATGTTAATGCAGATTACGCCATTTTCACTGTTAGACACTTTTTATCTAGGAGAATCCAGTACCTTGGTTTGAAACTTAATCTAAACAAAACAGAATGAGAAGGTTCGTTAAGACATTTTACTATCTACTGTATTTGTTAATTTCAACAATCACCTAAATAGAAGCAGCTCACAAGTACATTACTATGAAATGAGTATCTCACCAAATATCAGAAAGAACCATTTTCATCTTATCCAAACTTTAGTCAATTCTGAATGGCAGGTAAACTGGATCCATGATTCTTAAGTGGTAGTTTTTTTCCCTTTGTTCCCAACTTGTCAGAGGACTATGTCCATGCAACCGTTTAGTGAAAGGCTGCAGGAAACAAAAAAATTTAGAGCCGGTATGGAGGGCCTTATGGTTGACCTAATCCAGTTTCCTTCTTCACTGAAAGGAAAATGGCTCAGAGAGGCTGAGCGATTAAACCACTTGGGTGAGTGACAGCTGAACCCGACAGAAGCCAAATCATCAAGCTTCCTTTACAGAGTTCTAAACTGCCTCCTACCCACTCTTGAATTAAATCCAGTATGATCCAGACAAGGTCTACACCGTTTGCCTGCGGCTGCCCCTCAAAGGCTAACTTAAGGTCTATTTGTGTTAGAGGTAAAGAAACCAGAGGATGAAAGCTCAAGGAGGGGAGGGGAGGGGCGGGGAGAGGAGGTGAGGAGAGAGAAGTGTGTGTGAACTCAGGACTGGAGGCGTATATGAGAAAAAGCACGAATGAGGATATTTCAGGGAATGAAAAAAAAAAAAAAAAAAGGCGAGGGACCGGGAAGGAAGGACTGCGAGCGCCGGGAAGATCTGTAGAAGACTCTTTAGGACTGGACTGGAGTGAGTCAAGCGAAGATCTGAGAGCCAGAGTAACAAAGATTTCCACGCAAGCCCGCGCTGGCTCGTGCCTCAGTTTCCCTCCCGTGTTCTGGAGCAGAGCACCGAGAAATCCTCACGCAGGGGACGAACATTTTGGTAAGGGTAGTTGGTCTCGGCTTCCTGGAGATGCTGGCCTCATTCGGGTGGGGCGATGACCGCAAAATCAGGTCCACTGCTTTGACTCCCACCTCGGTCCGGTCCTCAGTGCCCGCTCCTCGGCCATCGCATTTCTGGGGCGGCTCGGGCTCATCCGGAGCAGACTCTCTCCCGCTCGGATAACTCCGTCCTGGGTACCCCCGCCCAACGCAAGTAGAAAGTAAATTCTGTGCGCTAGAAGCTGGGGTGCGCGACCAGCCACGACCAGCGCGTAGCTCCGCCAGCGCCCTCGCAGCTTCTGTCCCGCTCGGGCTCAGTGCGCAGTCTCCGTGACAGCCACTTCCGGGAGGTTCGCTGCATCAACCTTCCGTCGGGAAGCAAGTCCCTCTGGCTTCTAGCTTGGGGAACCGGAACCGCTTTCCAAAACTCGGAGGGAGGAAAAAAATGCTTTTCAGTGATTCCTGAGAAAACGAATATTTTTTAGGCTTTTGGGGACACTGATTGAAAGGGTTTTTCTTAGAGAACTTCTTACTCTTGGAGCCTAAACGGAAACTGAAACACGCACCCAGCCCAACTTCCGGAGGACCAACATCGCGACGAACAACCAGGAAGCGATCGGCCTGGGAGCTGTCCCCGGTTCTCTGCTCCGCTCTCTAGGGAACTTTCCGGGTCCTTACACTCTGTTTTTCTTGCCCCGCGTGACCTCAGCTCCGACCCAGGCTCCGACCCGGGCCGGCCACTCCGGAACCCGCCATGTCGTCCGACTTTGAAGGCTACGAGCAGGACTTCGCGGTGCTCACGGCAGAGATCACCAACAAGATTGCAAGGGTCCCCCGACTCCCACCTGGTAAGGGCGCTTCCTAGGCCGGGCGGGGGTGTCCTGGAGAGTGGGGAGGCTCAGATGTGGACGATGGAACTCTGCCTGAATGTCTCTTAGGCGCGAGCCTGGAGGATGAAGTAGTGGTGGGACCTCCGGGAGGAATGGTTGAGTGGGTTGAGGAGGGTCAGGGGAAGATCCAAGCTGGGTTGTGGGGTGCAGAGCCTTTGGAATCTGAAGCTTTTCTTGAGTTCTTATCTGGACTCCACCGCCTTTTTACTCGTATAACCTTGGGAACGTTTCTCTGAGTCTTCGTTTTGGTTGGGTTTTCTGTTTGTTACTTTTGTTTGTGAAATACAGAGATATGAGAATATTCAACGGGAATGAATTAACGTACCAAGGTCATGGGTCTGCACCATACGGCAACGTTGGTTTGTTAGTAACGACGTTATTACTATAGGCGGCAAAACGGGGTTAAGAGCCGTGGTGCCTGGATTCAAATCCCAGACCTGCCACTTAGAAGTTGTATTTAGGCAGGTTTCTTAACCTCTCTCAACTTTTATTTCTTGGTAAAATGGAAAGAATTGTGCATCTCTCATGTGAAGATTAAATGACTTAGCATATGTAAGGTCCTTTTTTTTTATGTTAGCTGCTATAATCATTAGTATTTTTCATACCACCAAGTCCATTTATTTTTTTCTCGTCCTTCTTGAGAAACGATGTGTAAAAATTGGTACAGAATAATTTTTCTCACTTTAAAAATCCCACAGCTATCATTCAGAAGAGTTTTTGTGTTTTAGCACATCTTATTTTAAATGCTGGACGGTCAACTATGTGAAGGTGGGAGCTGTCTTTGATTTCCTTGGCATTTACTTAGAAGGAGCTCAGGAAAATGTTTAAGGAAATGAACAGATACATAAGTATGGTATCATGTAATTTTCATCTGTAGGACTTTGTTTTAGGATTTGTTTTCTCTCAATACAGATTTAATTGAGTATTTAGTTGCAAATTAGATTGCTATTCAGGGACTTAGCTGTGGTAGGGAAATTGAACCATCTACCTTCACTCTGTGGTGTAAAGTTTATCTGTGAACTGGTGGTCAACTTCATTGTTCCACCATCTCAGTCAGTCCTTGATGCCAGCAATAATTTCTCCTAGACCTAAGCTGTGATTCCTCTGTTCCTTTCCCCACCTCTCCCCAAACTTAAGTGTTTATAAATAATTTTCTTCCTTTATTTCTTTATTTTTCTCCTCCCCCCACCCCTCCCCCGACCTATTTTCTATTAATAGGGACATTTGCTTGAAGCCAGCATCTCTGAACTTAACACCACACTCATCTCCTGAAGTCCCAGTTAGTTCTGGAGGAGGTGGAGGATGATGTCTTAAAGAGGTGTATGAGTCCAAGTGAGGGAACAAGAGGAGAGAACCAAGGTAGCATATACCACGGAGCTCTGCTGCCTGGGAGATTGTTGTGGCGAAAGTGACTTCGTGATACATTACCTCGCCTCTTCTCTTCAGTTCTGCTTTCCTCCACCACCCAAGATCATCTTGATTTTTGTTGTTGTTATCGTTGGAGACTACTTCCTTTGACTTCAGTCCCAGAACCTCAGAATATCAGGATTGGTGGTTTCCTGGGATTTTTGCTCTTTTTTAATTGTCAGAATTCTAGCTGAGGAAACATTTTTTGTTTTGGGCTAATAACTTTGGTATTGAGAAGCTATGCTATAAAGTAACAAAGTCGTTCCTGGGTGCAAAATTGTAACAGCCAATTCCAAGAAAACAGATTTGTTACAATTGTTTGTTTTTTTTCTTACCTTTATATTTTAATGTGACCATTCTTACCACAGAGGAAGAAACCTTTGAATTAAGTAACTTAAAAATAAAGACCTCCAGTTTCTACAGCTACAGTGTAATGTAAGGTCCAAAGAAGCATCTTCATGAGATTTGAAAGGAGACTATAGCTGGCACTGGAAAAATGCTTACTAACTTGAATAATTAAATGCTAATAATTCTTAAAAATACTGTGGTTTCCCTTTAATTATTTGTACTTGCTCATTTTATAATCTGTTTCTAGTTGATAAATAGAGAAAGATGAAAAATATATCTTTGTAGTTGTGCATTTCAGATGTATACCTGTGGACAACAGAAATTGATTATGTGCAACCATGCAAAAGTAGTATGATTAAAAATAATTATAATCTCTTCCTGGCATCATTGGTGGTTGACCCAGAAATTACTTAAGAAGGTTAAAAATTGGAGTGAAATTTTCAGCCAAAGCAGTTTAGTCCCTGAAATATTAACTTACTGAAATGGAATTAGAGTAAATTGGATTGATTGCAACTAACTTCATTCTCTGCTGTGCATGTACAATGTGTCAAAGTGTTACTTCCAAGAGAATAAAAAAGAAATATTTTAAAACTTCAAAAAGAAATTTGATTACTCTCTGGTACATTTTAAACAACAATAATAATATTAAAACCTTTCTTCTTAAACTCAAGTGGATTGGATTTTAAGTAGTGTTAGTAATTAGACCAAAAGATAGATCAGTCTCTTCTTAAGTAATATTCTTATGGCACTATATTTGAGCTTTGATTTTAATGATTTGTATTCTGTAGTAAAGTCAGGAAAATGGATGAGTGGAAACCATCGCTAATACTAATTGTGACGTTCCTCTTTCTCTGATGATGAGTCATAAGTGGGGGAGATACTTTATAGAGGTGGGAATTCCATGACATCAAGCAGGCTTCCTGAAGGATTTTAAACGAAAGGTTCCTTTGCAGTTAGTTGCTTACTTCACCATGGACAGGGAGAAAAATGGTCTGTTGTGAAGCTGTAGTCAGAAATACCGAAAAAGGCATTATGGTAACTTGGTTACAGTTCACACGTGGCATCAGATCTGTTTAGAATCCCAGCTCTGCTGCTTATTAGATATGCAACTTGGGCATATTGTGTGGCCTAAGTCTGCCTCCTCCACCTGGAAATTCAGTGTGTGTGTGTGTGTGTGTTGGGGGTGGGGTGCATGTATCATAGTTTCACCCTTACAGTGTTGTAAAAGTCAGTTGAAACAAAGCATATGATTTTGTTGTTGTTCAGTTGCTACTCTTTGCAACCCATGAACTGCAGCACACCAGGCTCCTCTCTTCTCCACTGTCACCCAGAGTTTGCTCATTGAGTTGGTGATACTGTCTAACCATCTCATAACTATTAGTAGTTGCCCTCCGGTCTTCCCTGGTAGCATGTTGAATCTTCCAATCTGGAGGGCTTGTTTTCCAGTGTCATATCTTTTGGCCTTTTCATACTGTTCAGGGGATTCCCGAGACAAGAATGCTGGAATTGGTTGCCGTTTCCTCCTCCAGCGGACCATGCTTTGTCACAGCTCTTTGCTCTGACCCATCCAGCTTGCGTGGCTCTGCATGGCATGGCTCGTAACTTCATTGAGTTACACAAGCCCCATTGCTACAACCTAGTTGTGATCCTGGAAGGGGAAAGCATATTATACCCTGGCACAATTTTTCCTCCCTAAAGAGAGTGCATGATAAATTAGCAACTAGTGATACTGCAGTGGTGAAGACAACAGCTGTAGGGTTGGTCAGGACCTAGCTTCTCAGACTTTTTGCTTAATTGAACTCTTAAACATTGGACCTCACTTTTGCTTCCTTTCTGTGCTAGACTAGAGTGAGTCTCTCTTGATGAGCACCTGCATTTGAAGGGAGATGTGTGATGGGCACTTTGGGATACAAACTTGGAATTGGACTCTGAACTCAGGGTATTAGGGAGGAAATCAGGGAGAGAAGTGGAAGTGGTGGGGTGAGATGGGTGTCTTTTCTAGAAGGAAATGCTTCAGCCTAGCTAATTGATTATGCTCCATCTCTGGAGGCTTTTGGACCCTGTCTAGATGTGGCCATGTGTGGAGGAAGGTGTAACATTCATCCATGATTCTCTCTTGCGTTTGCAAAGTGATTGTAATAAGAGAATTCAGAAAAGTCTGCTTTTATTTATGAATACTGTGGTTTGCTTAACATAGATGTGGTTCTGGAGCTGTAATGTTGATGTGTAACTGTTGAGCACTTGAAATGTAGCTGTTGCCCTGTGGTGAATGACGATGTTCTTAATATTATTAAAATTAAAAAAATTAAAATGAATTTCTCCTTTTTCTTTTTTTTTTTTACTTTTGGAAATGTGGCTACTAGAAAATTTGAAATTCTGTTATGTGACTTGCATGCATTATATTTTTGTTCTATAAAATTAGAGTTGAAGAGATGGTTCCAGACCTAATTCAGGAACTCAGCTGCAGAGTGAGTTGAAGTAGGATGGGTAAGATTTGAGTTAGGCATACTCACACATACCCACATTCTAATCCCTTAAATAATTTAGTTAACCTGAGTAATAGCCTTGGGCTACCCAGCTGGCTCAGTGGGTAAAGAATCCACCTGCGATACAGGAGATGCCAGAGACACAGGTTCGATCCCTGGGTTGGGAAGATAGCCTGGAGGAGCGAATGGCAACCCCCTCCAGTATTCTTGCCAGGAGAATCCCATGGACAGAGGACCCTGGTGGGCTACAGTCCATGGGATCACACAGAGTTGAACATGGCTGAAGCAACTGAGCATGCATGTACACATGCATGGCAAGTAATAGCTTCATTGATTTTTTAAAAATAGTTAATTTTAGAACAGGTTAAGATTTATAGAGAAATCACAAAAATAATACAGAGAATTCCTGTGTAGTCCATGTCCAGTTTCCTCTATTGTTAACTTCTTCTATTAATATGATACATTTCTTGCAGCCAGTGAGCCTGTGTTGCTACTTATTATTAACTGAAGTCCATACTTTATTCATATTTCCTTAGTTTTCTTTAGTGTCTTTTTACTATTCTAGGGTCCAGTCCAGGGTACTACAAATCATTTGTAGTAGTCATGACTCCTCAGGTTCCTCTTAGTTGTGACAGTTTCACAGCCCTTTCTTTGTTTTTGATGACTTTACAGTTTAGAGAAATACTGACCAACTGTTTTATAAATGTTCCTCAGTTGGGATTTGCCAGATGTTTTTCTCATCATCAGACTAGGGTTGTAAGTTTTTGAGAGGAAGACCACAGAGGTAAACCACCATTTTCATCACATCATGTCAGGAATTCACACTGTAAGGTAACTTAGCAGTCTTGATATTAACTTTGACCACCTGGCTAAGGTAGTATTTGTCAGGTTCCTCTACTATAAAGTTACTCTTTTCCCTCTTTTCCATATTCTTAGAAGGAAATCATATGCATAGTCCACACTTAAGGAGTAGGAGATCATGCTTCATCCCCTTGAAGGCTGAGGATTTATTTAAATTATCTGGAATACTTCTATATGATTCTTCTAGAGAGAGAGATTTGGCTATTTTCCTCCCCTTGTTAATCCAGTCATTTATATGCACAAACTCATTCATACTTTGTCTTGTATTCCAATACCACTTTATTTTTCTGCTCAGATTATTGCAACTTTGACCATTGGAATTCCTTCCAGCTGACTTTTGTGTCATTTTGATATATGCCCATCAGTGGGGTTTTTTTTCCCCCTTATTAGCATTTTCTTACTTTCTGATATTATAAAATACTCCAGAATCATCCTGTATTTTTTGTATACCAGTCCTTGAATCAGCAGCTATTTTTCCAAGGAGTCCTCTTTCCTTTTATTGAAAAATGGTGTTAGAAACCAAGATCTGGACACTAGGTGCACACGTTGGTACTGAGGTTTTATTACTTCTGGACCCTTTTAGCCGACACAGCAAAGAAAAATGTGTGTTTGCTAACTTATGTATATATACATACTGATAAAGTTTTGTGTATGAGGCTATCTATATTTATAATAAGCTAAGCATGAGTTATATTAATGTCTCCAACTCCAGTCCTTTATTCACACAAGTAGAATGGGTTTGTCTTAATTATTTCTTTCATAAAGGGAAGCTTGCCATTTCTAAGTAGGAAGATTTGCCCCAGGCCCCACTGATACAATTTTTCTTTCTTTCTCTCTTTTGTGTGTGTGTGTGTGTGTGTGTGAAATTTGAACAGAATCTGTACTTTAGTTAATAATACTATATTGCATGTCAGTTTCCTGTTTGTTTGTTTGTTTTTACAGCATAACATTTCTTTATATTCTCAGAATTGGATTAGAATTTTCAAGCCTCATTCAAAAATTTTTTTAAAATCACTGAGATAGTAAACTTTCTAAACTTTCAGCAGTAATACTAGATGCCAAAAATAAATGGAACTATATCAAAGTTTTGGGTGAATATAAATTAGAAATCTAGCATCCTATTCATACTTGATCAAACAAATGGAACCAAAATGTTATAAATATTTTAGCTAGACAAACATTCATAAAGTTTCTAAAATATATATAGATTATATGTACTATATATATATATATATATATGTATACAAAAGCTTTTCTACTACGTTTGATAAAGGCTTGAGAAAGAACAACAAAAAATGAGATGGAGAAGTTGGAAAACACAAACTAAATTAAATGGGAGCACTGAATATGAAATAGAGCAGCTGTGTCTAAAAACAACTGGACTATATGATGACCTTTTACAATTTTTCTTATTCTCTGTGAGTAACAAATATGTTGCTGAATTATAAGACTCACGGATTCATTCAGTAAACACACAGTCAACACCTACCATGTACAACTCTCTGTGCTAAATACAGAATTAGGACAAAGGTGTGTCGAGAATGGTCCCTGTCTTCAAGGAGCTGGAAATGAGGCTGAAGGGAGCCAATTACTAATGACCATCAGGGATGCTAGGGCAGAGCACGGAGGTCCAGGAGTTCAGAGGCGATAAGGTCATGTCCTGGGAGGTCACCTGGAAGGGTAGTGGGATTTAGCAGACGGAAAAGAGGAAAGACTAAATGAGTTGCAGTAAGTGGATGCAGTGGGCATCTGCTGCTTCAGAAGGCCCAGAATCCTCTGTTCTATCTTCTGAGAGCATCTCCTCAATTTTCCTTTGAGAAATTCTCTAAACCCAGTCTTGGTGGAACTGACAGCCTGCCATGCCCTGTCCAGGTCAAGAAGAAAATACCTTACTCAAGGGAGGACAGTCAGTGAATTTTCGCCAGAAATTGGGATTTGGACTCTGCTTCTGCAGAGACTGTCAGTGAGTCCTGCTCCCTTGGTTCCGTGACCCACCGTGGTACTGCCCTCCCCGGTCTTGGGAACTCACCTTTTCCGTTGATTCTTCATTCTTTTTATTCATTCGCTGTTTCATGTCTGTTTGCAACCCGATGGACTGCAACATGCCATCCTCTTCTATCCTCCACTACCTCCTGGAGTTTGCTCAAATGCATGTCCATTGACTCGGTGATGCTGTCTAACCATCTCATCCTCTGCTGCTCCCTTCTCCTTGTGCCTTCATTGTTTCTCAACATTAGGGTCTTTTCTGAGTCAGCTGTTTGCATCAGGTGGCCAAAGTATTGGAGCTTCAGCTTTAGCAGCAGTCTTTCCATTGAATATTTGGAGTTGATTTTCTTTAGGATTGATTGGTTGGATCTCCTTGCAGTCCAAGGGACTCTCAAGAGTCTTCTCCAGCACCACAATTCAAAAGCATCAGTTCTTTGGCACGCTGCCTTGTTTGCGGTCCAACTCTCACATCCGTACATGACTGCTGGAAAAACCATAGCTTTAACTATATGGTCCTTTGTCAACAAAGTGATGTCTCTGCTTTTTAATATGCTAAGTTTGTCATAGCTTTTCTTCCAAAGAGCAAGCATCTTTTAATTACGTGACTTCAGCCACCATCTGCAGTGATTTTAGAGCCCAAGAAAAGAAAATCTGTTACTGTTTCCACTTTTCCCCCCTCTGTTGGCTGTGATGTGATGAGACCGTGTGAGCCACCCTGAATTATTCTAATAAATTCTATTTTTGGCTTAGGTTAGCCAGAATCAGTTCTGTTATATTCAGCCAAAGAACCTAAATAGTACCTTGAACAAAGACTTAGGTCAGGGAATAAAATGGTGCTTTGATAGTAATGGATAGCATGCAGAGCACATACTAGAGAGCTAGTAGTTGGAAATACAGTTGGAAAAGTTGCTTGGGTCTGGAATGTGGAGGACCTTGACTTCCAGGCTCAAGTGATTCAACCAGAGCCACATTTCTGGAAGATTAAATGGGGGAAGAGGGCAGATATGGTGAAAGTGAAACCAGCGTGGTTGGTAGCATAACTTCTTTTGTAAATTCTTGTACTCACTGAACTATTTATTCATTTTGCTACCATGTTTTGAGAACTGATTTATACATCAGGCTCAGGGCTAGACTGTAGAACTAGGACATGGTTCCTGTCTTCCCAGAGCCTCCAAGTTAGAAGATAAATCAGACATGTGAGTGTGAGAGATAAATCAGGAGGATTATGTAAGAGATGTAGGAATTTTCTATAAGAGCAAGTAATTAATTCTTCTGTTGCATTAGAAAAAACTTCAAAGAGCTGGTGATTTCTGGGGAGAGATAAATGGGCTGATAGACTTGGAATGGGGATAAGGATAATTTTTCTGAAAGTATCTGCTAGAACATGTCTCTCCTAGAATGGAGCATTGTGGTTGGGTTATAGCTTGATTGTGGTACGGTTTGAAGAAATCACATACAGATATTTAGCACTTCACAAATTAGAAGTAATTCCTCTTGCATCAACTTATTTGAGCTAAAACGAGTTCAATAGATGTTTTTAATTTCCAGTTTAGAGAGTATATACCAAGTCTCAGCTAAAAACTCTTTCTTACCCAAGATCCCATAACCATGAGTAGATAATAGTTTGGGGTTTAGAATCAGTAGTTCTGACTTCACATATTTCTTCCATTACATTCAACTCTTAATGAGAGCACAATTTTTTAAAGGATGGTAAGATCTTGCTCAGTTGTACGAATTGTTATATGTCACTTTTGGTTTTTTAATTTGTGGATTTTTGTCTTGTTGTTATATATGGCTTTTTTAATATGTGACTTTTAAGTTGTACTCATGAGTACATTATTCCCAGTTTATTAAATTCATGAGTTTGCAGATTCCTCATGCCACCCGTAAATCTGTTGTTGACACAGGCTCTTCTAAAGAGCAAAATAACTTTTGGTTTTTCTTAAAAATGTTACAGCATCTCTTCAGTACTCTACAGGATTATGTATTTCCAGATTGCCTATAATCAGTGTCTTACAGTGTTTCCTAACCCACCAAAGAAGAATATGGCCGTTGCTGATATGCTAATTCTTTACTCTGATTGATCAGAAAGGAAAAAAAGATATATAAAAATAGAAGTTTTTAAGTATTAAGTTTATCTGTAACCTTAGCAATTCCTTGATATTGTTGTTTGTTTCAGATGAGAAGAAACAGATGGTTGCAAATGTGGAGAAACAGCTCGAAGAAGCGAAAGAACTGGTATGTACAGACTTAGTAATATATTTAAAACACAACCAAAGCCATTTAGTCTGATGCCTTCCTCTAAGCCTCATTTATGCATTGTAGAAATGTGAAACATACCTGATTAACAGTTCATGATTAAGAATTCATCAGTGTCTACATTGAAGAGAATTTAATAGCTTCTTGGGATTTTATTCCTCTTAGTAAAGGTGATTCATTAAATGTCCACTTTGAATTTTTATCACTTCATAATACCTTTCATAATAGCTATAAATAGGTAACCCTGGCTAAAGGTGTATTAGGTACCAGACATGGGTTAAGCATGTTATTTGCTTTATACTATTTAATTTTCACAAAATCTCTATGAGACAGAAACTGTTTGTCAAAAACTGTTAAGGATCGAGGTTTTCCCTACTTGCCCATTCACAAGTGAGCTTGCCACAATCTCAAGGATGCTGATAGAAGACATTAGATTCCTATGTCAGAGACAAAAGGCTTTTATTACTCACAGCAAAAGCTGCTGCCAAAATTTCAGCAGGCTTGTGTCAGTTCCCTGAGCCCCAATTGCCAAGGGGCTGATGCATGTTTGCCTAGAAAAATGCCTACACATCAGTGGATTATCTTATAGGAGAGAAACGTGGGGCCTGGGAAGGATACTGCTTTATAGCAGCCTGTAAGCAAGCCTGGTCTTTACCCCAAGGCACACATTGTTTCCTACCCCCAGATTGCTCCCTGCCTGGGAAAAGAGTTATCAGGGCCTTGCATTCTTAGTGTTGCAGCAAGACATGTAGAAGTGTGAGAGATACACAGAGGAGCATCAGTGCCCCCATTTTGTAGATGGGAAAACTGAGGCTTAGACATATTAATTAACTTGTCTGTGGTCCCACACCCAATTAGTGCTTGAGCTTTAACTCACTCACTACTTTTGATACTAATAAATTCTCAAATCAAGGAACAAAAAGTATTGAAATATATTGTGTCCTAATTTGGGGTTTCAAAGTCTTGTATTATAAGTATGATTTGTCTTGTTCCTGCATTGTGATCCTAAATGAGGGTGTTGCTTTTCTCCATACTGGAGGGTACCACTTGGTATTCCTTCAGTATGATATAGTTACTACAGTTTCCCAAAGTGTGTTTCTGTTAACTGGTGTTGCTTGTTCAAACAAGTTTGGAAAACTGTAGCTTAAACACAATTCTCCAATTATGGGTCTTTTTTTGGTTATTATTGGCTTGGCCAAAAAATTCATTCACGTATTTTCATAAGATGTTATAGAAAAACCTGAATGAATGTTTTAGGCCAACCTAGTATTTTTCTACCGAGTTTCTCCCAGTAAATAATCCACATTAATAGTAAAGGGTCAGCAGTAAAGAATCCGCCTGTAATACAATGCACTGCACGAGACGAAGGTTTGATCCCTGGGTCGGGAAAATCCTCTGGAGAAGGAAATGGCAACCCACTCCAGTATTCTTGCCTGGAGAGTTCCATGGACAGAGGAGCCTTGCAGGCTACAGTCCATGGGGTGGCAAAAGAGTTGGACATGACTGAGCGACTAAACATTGACAACAGCAGTATTTTTCTGTAGAACTTTCTTAGACTCTTAAGTTGTACTGAGGCATGTGAATGTCTCCAAAGGACTCTAAGGGGTGGCACTCCAAGCTAATTTGCCTGAGTAGCAGAGCCATACATGGCAGGCCTGCTGCTCAAGACGGGTGGGGGGTTCTGAGGAGTAGGTGACTGTAGCTCCCCATTACACCGCAGACACTTCCTTTCGTGTCTGAGTGCTCAGGCAGCAAGTTGCAGAGCTGCTGCTCCATCTTGCCCATCTCCAGTTCTTTTCTAGCTGTCAGAACGCCTGTGCGTTCTGTAAAAGTGAAAGTCACTCAGTCATGTCCAACTCTTTGTGACCCAGGGACTATACAGTCCCTGGAATTCTCCAAGCCGGGATACTGGAGGGGGTAGCCTTGACCTTCTCCAGGGGATCATCCCAACCCAGGGATCAAACCCAGGTCTCCCGCATTGCAGGCAGATTCTTTACCAGCTGAGCCAGCAGGGAAGCTGAAGAATGCTGGGCCTTCCCGACCCAGGAGTCTCGCTGGGGCCTCCTGCATGGCAGGTGGATTCTTTACCAACCGAGCTGTCAGGGAGGCCCTGGCTCCGTAAGAAATGCTTCTCATCTCCCTGTCTCTGCAGGAGCGGCTTTATCCTAACTCCTCAGCCTCCCATGTTTGCTTCTGTTTTGAAAGTTGCTTGTTTTTTTCCAAATTCTTTTCTCTTTCCTTTTTTACAATCAACTGTTTTCCTCCTGCTTCCTGGCCTTCATGTACGAAGACTGAACTTTTATATGCCATAGCTGCCAACCAAGACGCTTCTTCCTTCTAGTTGGTATGCTTACCATACATAGTGCATGCTTAGTTACTCAGTCGTGTCCAACTCCTTGCAATCCCTTGGGCTGCAGCCCACTCTTCTCCATTGCCTATGGGGTTCTCCAGGCAAGAATACTGGGGTGAGATGTCATGTCCTTCTCCAGGGGATCTTCCCGACCCAGGGATCAAACCTGGGTCTCCTGCATTGCAGGCAGATTCTTTACCACTGAGCCACCAGGGAAATGCAACTGGTCAATTCTTTGGATCTTGGGTTAACTTCTTAGCTTGTTGTTAAATTCTCAGTAGCAGGGTATTTGTTTGTCTTTGCCATAAAAATCTATGTTTTGGTTCATTAGTTTGCCTTGTTTTGGAGACATTGATTTACATGATGATGTTAGAACGCTTCTTTCCTAATAACCAAAGTTTCACTATACCAAGAACTATAAAATGTGGTTATACCCCTGTGGAGCTTATGGTCATCTCCAGTTGTTACTAATATGAAGAATTTTGTCTTAGATGTGTGATTCTGTTTGTTTAAAATGTCTAGGCAGCTGACTTAATTCTGATGGCATCCTTGTTAAGGACACACATCATTATATACTGTGTTTTTGATGAGGACCCTAGGAAAAGAACTTCATTATGATTTTACTTGTTAGGATTAGTTGTATTTCTGTTGAACAATTTGTATCAATCTCTTGGACACTGCATGTCTCATAATTACCATGTCTTCCACTTGACATTAGCCATGTGAATGTTATGACAATATAAAACTAGTAGTATTACTGTTGTTTCTGGTTTCATTTCAAGTGTTTGTCTTGTGTTACCTTTTTCTTTGTCTTACATACTTTTAGTTAGAATGTCCTTATAAAATGCCTGAAACAAAAATGTCGTTAACACTCAGATTTTCTCTTACATGTGCTTTTGCAGTTATTTGTCTGGATGATCCTGCTCGACCTTTCTAGAACTCAGCTCTTAATGACAATTTCAGGGAAGTGCTCTAAATAATTGCGTTGCTGGGTAACTGATTTATTGGTGCTTCATATTTATGCTGAGATATGGCAATAATTTAAATAGTTACTGCTTAAATCAAGGCTAATTAAAACTTTTTTCCTTTATAAAAATTCAAGACTGTGAGTTGAAACTTTTTTTTTAATTTTGTTTATCTGAGTTCTACTATTTTTATTCAGACTCTTAACACCAGACAAGTAAGAGTTGTATTCGTGCCAAGTGTGTAATGTTTATGGAAATAATTTATTCGGGCTATTTACTTTAAGAGGCAAAATATCTGACAGCATTTTTGGATGTGAGTTTATTAGACATGGCCTGAGCCAATTTGTAGTTGTTGGTTTTTATTTTTTAATGCCAAGTATAAATAAGCTATCTGTGATACCTTACATCATGCTTGCTGTCTTTCTACTTCATCATCAGTAATCACCACTCCTATTATTCACATTAGTTGAGTAATTACCAAGTAAAAGATACTGTTCTAAGCACATTATAGGAATTACTAATCTTTATAGTTGTCTTACAAAAGACATACTATTTTTTTTAGAAATGAGACACTTGAGACCCAGAGAAGTTAAGAAGCCTGTCCAACCTTGCATAACTAGTAAGCAGTGGAGCCTATGATGTGAACGCAGGTGTCTAACTTCCATCATACTATTTCGATATTGCCTCCCATGAAATGCTCACATGTTGTATCCAGGTTGTTATAAAGTGCCCTGCTGTGATTTCACTGAGCTTTGTGCAATTTAATATGTTATTATATCCATTTAGGTCCATATACACCTGGTTATAAAGTATGAGGTTGGAGGTCATGATCACATATTGGTTGGCATATGTATTTCCTAATCAGAAAAGACTTTCCAGGAGAATTTTCACCAAACAACTGAGACTGGGCTGATATTTCATAGAGTAACTGTACAATTCATGGTTTGGTGTATCGTCTCATAGTCCTAGTGGTTTGAGGTCGGAAGACCAGACCAGTTTGGGTTGAATGATAGGGTACTCTGCAGACAGTAAAATCATTATCGCGGAGGGTGTTTGGCTTAATGCACATGGTTTTAAAAATTCTTGACAGAGTAAACACTTTGGCACTCTCTGTGTCACTTGGCAAGTCCTCAGGAGCTGTTTATTGACCTTAACAAAAATGGAGCACAAAAGTGGTCCCCGTGTTCACTTGACCACAGGCAGTTTGCTCCCTGGGCCTGGTTCCTCAAGTTGTAAAATGAAGACTTGGAGTTAAATCCTTTCAGCTCTCAACATCTAGTCATGTGAAGAGTAAGCAGATAGTTTAAACCATGGTTTTTTCTCACCCTTCCAGCTGGAACAGATGGATTTAGAAGTCCGAGAGATACCTCCTCAAAGTCGAGGAATGTACAGCAACAGGATGAGAAGCTACAAGCAAGAAATGGGAAAACTTGAGACAGATTTCGTGAGTCAGATTCAGTCCTTTATTATACTTGCCAATCTTTACGGTGATTGTCACTTTTTTTTTTTTTTAATTGCTTCCCCCACACATCTTAGTCAGCATTAAGTATGTCGTCTTTAGGAGCTTGTGCCAAAGACATGCAACAGCTTCCATTGTATTGCTTGTAGAGCTGGCTAATGATGGACTTGAAGGTATGTTGGATTCCTGACTCACAAAATAGACCCAAGTCATGTGGTTTTTGAGTTTCGATGGTATTTATTGATATTTAGCATTTATCAGAATTCTGAAATCTAATTTGGGGCCTTTCAGAGTTTGCAGGTTTTAAGCTGCATTGTTCGTGGATGAACTTCAGGGACTTGTGAGTGTCCTGAAATTATATCAATATATTTGGGTATGTGTTTCTATATGTATATTTTTCTAAGATAGGCTTCATAGCCTTTATTACCAGAGTTTTAAAAGAATACATTACACTTCTCCCCTTCAGGAGCTCAATTGATAGTTTATATAAGAGGTCCTTTGTATTGAGTGTCTTATGAGAATATTTAGCTTTCTCTTCCTATATATCTGACTTTCAACTCCACCCACCATTAGCAAATTTAAGAATATAAATTTAAAGATATTCACATTAAAATTTTTAGTAATTAGAAGGTAATAGTAGCAGAAAGATACAGGTGAGCAATTCCACTTCTGGGTATATACTCTAGAAAATTGAAAGCAGGATCTTGAAGAGATATGTGTTATTGTGGCAATACCCAAAGATGGAAGCAACCCAAAAAGGAAGAAAGAAAGAAAGGAAGTTGCTCAGTCGTGTCCAGTGTCCGACTCTCTGCGACCCCATGGACGTAGCCCGCCAGGCTCCTCTGTCCATGGGATTCTCCAGGCAAGAATACCGGAATGGGTTGCCATTTCCTTCTCCAGGGGATCTTCCTGACCCAGGAATCGAACCCCGGTCTCCCCCATTGCAGGCAGACGCTTTACCCTCTGAGCCACCAGGGAAGCCCCATAGTGTGCATTAACAGGTGAGTGGATGAACACAATGTGGTGTGTGCATACAATGGACTATTAATGCAGCCTTAAAAATGCAGGACATTCTGACATATGTTATGGCATGGATGAACACTGAGAACATTATTCTAAGTTAAATAAGCCAGTCACAAAAGACAAATACTTCGTTTCCTCTTATATGAAGCACTTAAAGTAGAAAGTAGATTGGTGGTTGCCAAGCGCGGAGGGAAGGAGAACTGGGCAGCTACTGTTTCATGGCTGTAGAATTTCAGTTTTGTGGCACGAAAAGCTGTAGAAATTGGTTGCTCAGCCATGTGAATATATTTCACTGCATTGAACTATACACTTAACACTGGTGAAGATGGTAAATTTTATATGTATTTTACCACAATTAAAATTTTAAAAAGTATAGATGAAGAAAGATCTGAGCTTACCATACCATGAGCAACTGGAGTCAGGTGTGGGCATGTAAGCCGACTGTATTTCTGACCCTGGGGTCCAAATTTATAAAGAAAGTTGAGAATTTATAAGGACCCTTCTGCCTGTTTCCTCCACAGCTGTTTCACTTTTGGGAACCACATTTCCTAGACCACAGTGTACCCTCCCACTACAAGACCAATGGTACTGAGTCTCATAAAAATTTCACCTGGAGTCTGGAAGTAGGGTGACTTGCAGTTTTGCATATTTGTTTTACATTATCATGGGTAGTTGCCTGAGAAGCTGAGTCTGGGTATGTCAGTGACTCTGATGCAATTACTTTTTAAGTTGCACGCCTATTAATTAAAAAGAAAAATTGGAATCCACAATAGGCCTAAATTCAGGAAAGAAATGTAACTGCCTTGCTTCTGCAGTTTGTACTAGATAAAACTTTCCCTGCTTGTAAAAGATAGGTTCCCTTAGCAAGAATGTGAGAGATGATTTGAAAATTGGATTGATTTAAGAATCGGATAACTTAAAATTGTACTTCTAATTAAAATTAATGTTTTAATATAAATGATTAAAGTAAAATAAATATATATAAGGATTATTTTAGTTTGTTTACCTCATCTCTATGAAGTGCTTTTCTAAAGATTTTCTTCTCTTGGTTTGTAAAACAACTAAGCACATTAGTCTGCTATCATTGCCATATAATGTACCCCAAACGGGGTGGCTTAAACAACAAAAATGTATCTCCTTGACATTCTGGAGTCTAGAAGTCCAAACTCAAATTGTTGTAAGGGTTTGTTTCTTATGAGGCCTCTCTCTGTAGCTTGTGGATGGCTGTCTTCTCCCGTGTCTTCACAGTCTGTATGTGTTTATGTTCTAATTTCTTCTTCTCATACAGAAACCAGTTGTATTAGATTAAGGCTTGCCCCAATGACCTCATTTTACTTCATTTAACTCTTTAAAGACCCCCGGCTCCACGTACAGTCACATTCTGAAGTGTTAAGGGTTAGACTTCAACACATGAAATGGGGGGACATGATTCAACCCATAACACTAAATTTGGAGAAGGAAATGGCAATCCACTTCAGTATTCTTGCCTGGAACATCCCATGAATGGAGGAGTGTGGCGGGCTACAGTCCATGGGGTTGCAAAGAGTTGGACACAACTGAGCAACTTCACTGCACTGCAACACTAAATTTAGTTTTAATCTTTTCTTCTTAATTTTTTTTTTCAGAAGTTAAGTTGCTTTTATGGCCTCTAAGTCAGCTAACTCAGTGTTAAGAATTTTTTTCCCTAACAACTGTAATCTTGAGTAGAGTCCTTCAGGTATTTTGATATCACATAGGTAAACATTCTAAAGGTGTCTTTTCTGTTACGAAGGAAAATGGAATGAATAACTATGAACTAAACATTTATTCTCTGGGTGATCATTAAGATTCTTGTGTTTATTTGTATATTTGCTACACAGTTCCCTTCTACTGTGTCAGGAAACATCCTTCACCACCACCACCATCATCAGCGCCTTGTATGTGATTCACAGCTTATAAAGTGCTTTCCATGCGTTATTTCATTTCAGTGCATAAAGAGTAGGCAGAACAGCTGTAGATTACTATCCCCAGTTTACACACGATAAAGAGGTCCAACTTGATCATGGATTTCATTCAGCAGATTTTTCCCTTTGCTTGTGGCTGTGCTGGGTCTTTGTTGGTGCGCACTGGCTTTCTCCAGTTGTGGCGAGTGAGGGCTACTCTCCAGTTACGGCGCTTCTGGGTTGCAGCGGCTTCTCTCATTGCAGAGTGCAGCCCCTCGGTGTGCAGGCTCTGGAGTTGCAGCGCGGGCGCTCAGCAGTCGCAGTTTGCAGGCTCCAGAGCACAGGGTCAGTAGTTGTGGCACATGAGCTTAGCTGCCCCACTGCATGTGGCATCTTCTTGGACCAGGGATCAAACCCACATCCCCTGCATTGGCAGGCAGGTTCTTAACCCACTGGACCACCAGGGAAGTCCTCAAGAGATCTTTCTCAAGCTCTGTAGATATCAGGCAGTGTCCTGGGTGCTGGAAAAAAAGCCATGATTAAGAGATCAAGTTCTTACTCTGATGGAATTTATGTTGTAGTAGGAATGATGAGAAGCAAGTAAATGCATATATCTTAATTTCAGATAGTGATAAATTCTATAAGTAAGGTGAGTAAGTTGACAGTGACCAGCAGGGCTGTTGTAACTATTTTTGCTTGGGTGTTCTCTGCTTGAGTGGGGGAGGGAGAGGGATGCATGTGGTTACAGAGGGAAACAGAAGAATGATCAGTAAGGGCATTGTTGGTTTAGTAAAGACCTTGGCTTTTCCTCTGTCTTGGTTGGAAGTGATTCTAGGACTTTGAGAAGTAAGTGGTCCTTTGCCTCCTGTTTTACAGTTTTGTCCACTTTACCATTTTTGTCACATGAGGTATTTGAATAGAATGTAGAAAATATTTACATGATTCCCTTTTGACTCTTATTTTCTTCTTACATTTAATTCTTTTATTTTTTAATGGAATGACAAATATCTTCTTAAAGATGTTGGATTACTTTGTTATACTGATATGTCTAGAAGTATTGAATCCCAAGAAAAAGTAGTGGAGATGGTCCTTCATCCTTTATTTGCAATGTTTATTGCAAATGAAGAAATTCTCTCATTGCCCTTATAATATCAAGACCTTGGGGGAACATCTATGCTGGTGGGGAAAGGCAGAGGACAACTCAACACTTTTCTCTTCAACCCCATTGCCTACTTACTTTCTTTTTTCTGGCCCTCTTCCTCCTCTGCCCGTCCTTCAGCTGCCTGGATTCTTCAGGCTTCTTTTCCACTTAACCCACTGTCTCACTCCTGTGTTATCGCTCCTGTGACTTCAATGACCACAGCTATATTCTCTTGCATTTCTCACAGAGACCTCCCTCCAGCTCTCAATTCATATTCGTTACTATTTACTGGGTACTTCTAATCCAGGGTCCTTTAAACCTTAAATTTGACAATGCTAGTCATTTCAGCATGAGCTTTAGTTTTTCCCTCTTTATCTTCTTGCACATCCAGTTGGTCACTGAGAGTTAACAATCCTCCCACTTAAATATTTCCTGCTTTCATCACCACCACTGGAAGCCTTCATGTTTCTCAATCTGGATGATTGTAGTAGCCTTTTCTTCTTCTCTTCTCCCAACCTAAACCACCCTTCTCTCCACTCTGGAATGATCTTTCTAACACCTTCATCTGAATATGTCTCACTGTTCCACAAAATTCTACAGAGTTCTCATTGTCTGCTGAATCAAATTCAGGTCAACGTCTAGGCTTTCTGTCCTGTTCCATTGTTTCTTTGCATGTCTAGTAATTTTATTAGTTCAGTTCAGTTCAGTCGCTCAGTTGTGTCTGACTCTTTGTGACCCCGTGAACCCCAGCAGGCCAGACCTCCCTGTCCATCACCAACTCCTGGAATCCACCCAAACCCATGTCCATTGAGTCGGTGATGCCATCCACCCATCTTATCCTCTGTCGTCCCCTTCTCCTCCTGCCCCCAATCCCTCCCAGCATCAGGGTCTTTTCCAGT